ATAGGACAACCATAGTTATAGGTTTGGAGTATAAAATAAAGCTTACCTAGCATTTGCAAACTTTCCAGATATGAGATACACCATTTGTAGTACAGAAAATGATTAACGGGTTAAATGGTTTCAGAAATGTATATAGCACAAGAGAGATGACAATGGTGATGACAACAACTTTAGTAATGATCAAAATATAGTACATTTTAGGCAGCAGAACATCTTTTGACCCAGTAATGTTGTGACCACACAAATTAAGAATTGTTTTATACGAGTTCAAGATAGTCAATAGCATAACTTGGATCAAGAATTTTAATTACTCAACAAAGAAAAGTATTTATGGTAGTTCAGTGCCTTGAGTCCCCTACAGGGAGAAAGGTGGATTATAAACAAAGTTAACAACAACAACAATAGCAACAGTAATAGCAACTATGTGGAGTGACTTTTTCTGATAGAGACTGGGCAAGAGTGATGCTGGCATATGAACAAAACAAATGCCATATGTTTCGCCTTGTAATCTGCTCGCTCACCTAAGTGGGATCACCTTTGATGCATTCACCTACTAGACCTCAGATGTTAAACTAACACAGAAAAGTTACTCCCGCAAGATATACACCAAAGATTTATATATATATTGGATCAACTCAAATGGCAGCTGAATTGCACAATATTAGATTATTTACTTCAAAATGTCTGAATATTGTAGAACCATCATCTCTCAATGAAGGCATTAAAAAGAGAATTGCCATTAACGAAACCAAAAGGGGTGAAGTTATCCTAGAATCCAGTACCAAGGAAGTTTTCTTCTTAGTCCAGTCTGCTTCGTAAGGTGACTCAATGAGTTATCCGAGGCAAACGAATTAAAGGCAAGCAATTAGTAATGGCAATAATAGTATTCTTTTCCACACAACAACTGCTCCTGCCTCCCCCACATATGGCTCTTTCAAAGTGGTTAGGAACTATAGATTAATATAGTGGTTGTTTTACAGGATATCACCTTAGAACAGCAGTAGGGATGGACACCAAGTCACCAAGAGTTTCCTTTGTTATTGCCAGTGAGGAAATCTTTAACAGTTAGTCCCTGTATGATTAAGTTTAGTATGCATGCCATAGCTTACAGGCACCCCATATAACAAGAGCAATTTAACTGTAAACACTGGATAAAGGTTGTCCCCTGACATTAAGTCCAGTCATGTCTGACTCTGGGGTGTGGTGCTCATCTCCATGTCTAAGCCGAAGAGCCGGCATTGTCCGTAGACACCTCCAAGGTCATGTGGCTGGCATGACTGCATGGAGTGCCATTACCTTCCCGCCGGAGTGGTACCTATTGATCTACTCACATGTGCATGTTTTCGAACTGCTAGGTTGGCAGAAGCTAGGGCTGACAGCGGAAGTCCACGCCACTCCCCGGAATCAAACCTGCGACCATTCGGTCAACAAGCTCAGCAGCTCAGTGCTTTAACCCACTGCGCCACCGGGGGCTTCATAAACACTGGATATTAATATCTAATTATGTAATTATCTAATCGGGCGGCAGCCAGATTACTAACTGGGGCGACATACAGGAAGCATACCACCCCCTTGTTATGTCAGCTCCACTGGCTACCTGTCCATCTTGTAAGCAGCTCCGAGCCCCAGGGGAGTGGCGGCATATAAGTTCAATAAATAAATAAATAAATATCTCTAAGCCCAATTCAAAGTGCTAGTTTTGACCTATAAAGCTCTATATAGCCCAGCTTACTTGTCCAAACTCCTACGTCCCACCTCGTAATGTAAGATCATCCAGGGAGGCCCTGCTCTCGCTTCTGTCAGCAGCACAAATGCATCTGGCAGGGATGAGAGACAGGGCCTTCTCGGCTGTGGCCCCCCGCCTATGGAACACACTTCTAAATGAGGTATGATCAGCTCCCTCAGAAAGAAATTAAAATAATGGTTTTGGGACCAGGCTTTCGGACAGTAGATGTATGTAGCACTTTAGAGGGACATTGACTGGAACGGTGATATGGTTGATGAGACTGTTTTACTGTTTTAATGATTGCTTATGTATTGTTTCAATTATGATTTATGTTTAATTGTGGTTTTATTATTGTAATTGTTATGTAGTGGCATCGTATCTGTGCCCATTGTAAGCCATCCTGAGTCCCCCTTCGGGGGTAGAGAAGTGACGGGGTAGAAATACCAGAAATAATAATAAATAGATAAGCTCATATTACTGGGTTGTTGTAGGTTTCTCCGGGCTATATGGCCATGTTCTGGAGGCATTTTCTCCTGACGTTTGGCCTGCATCTATGGCAAGCATCCTCAGAGGTAGTGAGGTCTGTTGGAAGTAGGAAAATGGGTTTATATATCTGTGGAATGACCAGGGTGGGACCAGCAAAACAACAGAGAGTAAACTATCAGGCACATCAAATCACTCTCAACAAAAGATTCCCCCAGGCACTTCCAAGCCATTATATGCTAATCAAGGTGGTCAGTTGAAAACATCCAGTGAAAACATCCAACAGACAAGAGTCCTTTGTCCCACCCTGGTCATTCCACAGATATATAAACCCTTTTTCCTACTTCCAACAGACCTCACTACCTCTGAGGATGCTTGCCATAGATGCAGGCGAAACGTCAGGAGAAAATGCCTAGAACATGGCCATATAGCCCGGAAAAACCTACAACAACCCATGAAAGCCTTCGACAATACAAGATCATATTAATTTATCAGATGAAATCTGAACAGTTGCAGTTTTGTTTGATACTCATCACTGCTCACTAAGAAATTTAACCAAAGCTAGTTGTAACTAGCTCAGCTTACAGAGGCAGTACAGATCCAGTATCACTGACTATTTGTTGTCTTTATATTGTTTATACGGTTTTATACTGTTTATACTGTTTTATATTGTTATTATTACATTGCTGTTAATTGTATATTTATGTTTTGATGTAGGCGCCATGGGGTGCCAAAGTGGCACCCCATGGCGCCTACATCAAAACATAAATATACAATTAACAGCAATGTAATAATAACAATATAAAACAGTATAAACAGTATAAAACCGTATAAACCGTTAGCCGTCCTGAGTCCCTCTGCGGATTTTAAATCCTTTCGGTACCAGACTGTACTGGCTCTAAGACAAATCCTTTTGCTTTTGCAAACCACTACAATATTTTAAGAAAGCAGTAAAGACAGCTCAAAAAGAGTTAACACATTGAAACATTCATATAAAATATTAGAAGGATCCATTTGATTATAAGCAGCTTTATAACCAGTGGGCAAGATACATTTTACAGTATAAAGTTTATTTATTTCTACTATATACAAATCAATGTGCATTACATACGGTCTGTTCTTTGGGTCTTTTATTACCAGCATACAAGGAGTCACAGTGCTATATTTCTATGATTTTCAAAGTTTACAGCTGTTAATTTTAATATTTAAAATATGTCTTTATGCAATAAAATACTCCTAGTTAGTACACATAAGGAAATGACACACTCATACATGAAAAACATCAATAACATTTATTTTAACAAACACTCAAAATCAATTTATAAAAAGAGGAATTTTATGCATAGTACAGCAGTTGTCTTCTTTGGTTTTGTGCTCTAAAATAATAATTAAGGCATTTGAAACATTCAAATTCGTCAACATCCCTGCAGAGAGGAAAAGGTAAATTTGAAATACGAAATTTATCATTCTGGAGGGAAATGTAACATACAATATAAAGCCTTAGGAAAATAATTTCATTTGTTATAATATACAATAAACATTATTTAAAAGAATAATTAAGCATAATGTGAACTGAAATTTTCTTACGCACACACATATATAGAGAGATATAGATATAAAAGAATATCCAATATTTAGCCCCAACTAGAACAGACACAATGAATCAGTGACACTTATATGTACATTGACTTATCAAGTTTCCATTGATTTCAGTTTTAGCTGGAAGGAAAGACTTGATTGAAGCCTAATGGAGTGGATTCAGATCAAGTCAGTCTAGTTCAGGTTTCAATGAAATCCATATGAAAAGTTATTATGAGTAACTTATCTCCTTGATTTCAATAAAGTCTAAATTGTTCTAAATCTAACCCAATGAATGAAATGGGTGAGTTCCTCATATACAACTTTTTAAAAACACAGTTCCTATATTGAACTATTATTTGGCCATATAAGTGACATTAATTTGAAATGTGTCAAGATACAGGCACACGGTATACTTTCCAGCAATCTATCAGCATTTTCAAAGGCTGGGTTGTTGTAGGTTTTTCGGGCCATATGGCCATGTTCTAGAAGCATTCTCTCTTGACGTTTCGCCCTCATCTATGGCAGAGGTCTCACAACCTCTGAACTCACAACCTCTGAGAATGCTTGCCATAGATGCAGGCAAAACGTCAGGAGAGAATGCCTCTAGAACATGACCATATAGCCCGAAAAAAACCTACAACAATCCAGTGATTCGCCATGAAAGTCCTCAACAATATATTGTCGAAGGCTTTCATGGCTGGAATCACTAGGTTCTTGTGGGTCTTTTCGGGCTATAGGGCCATGTTCTAGAGGCATTTCTCCTGACGTTTCGCCTGCATCTATGGCAAGCATCCTCAGAGGTAGTGAGGTCTGTTGGAATTAGGACAATGGGTTTATATATCTGTGGAATGGCTGGGGTGGGGCAAAGAGCTCTTCTCTGCTGTAGCTAGGTGTGAATGTTTCAACTGACCACCTTCATTAGCATTTGAAGGCCTGGCTGAGCCTGGGGAAATCTTTTGTTGAGAGGCACATCTTAACACCTCTCAACAAAAGATTTTCCCAGGCTCAGCCAGGCCTTCAAATGCTAATGAAGGTGGTCAGTTGAAACATTCACACCTAGCTCCAGCAGAGAAGAGCTCTTGCCCCACCCCAGCCATTCCACAGATATATAAACCCATTGTCCTACTTCCAACAGACCTCACTACCTCTGAGGATGCTTGCCATAGATGCAGGCGAAACGTCAGGAGAAATGCCTCTAGAACATGGCCTATAGCCCGAAAAAACCCACAAGAACCTTCGACAATACATTTTCAAAGGCTGTTGAAGCTACAGTGCTTTATAAAAATGGAATGAAATATAAAAGTGTCTGACCACTGTCAAGCAAGCATATGTCCTCCAGGTTATCAGTTCCTAAAAACCATCAAATCCTGCCTGCCATTAAAATACCGATAAGATCAAATATTATATTATCAGCTTGATGGCATATGAAAAAGCACTTCATTAGAAATTAGTATTATTAATGACTTAGTTTAATTGTCATCAGCAGTGAGTAAACCTAAAAAGTACAAAAACCTTCTTATGCATTCATTATTGACAGAGTCATTGTCTAAAAATTGGTCATTGTGAAACTCTTCCTTTTCTATAAACCAAAAATTTAGGCAATGTTGTCTTCAATCTTTTGTAAAAAAAAAGTGCCTGTTTGCTCTGTAACATATTGGACAGCTTTGAGAAATATGCAATGATAACTGACCTTTGAGGTTACGATATGACACAATCGTCACGAGATTTACCTTTACCTATTCTACCTACCTGGGGGTCCGATTGGCTTTCTTGACAAGCTTTCCTAGAATCATCCTTGAGATCTAACTGTTTTCTCTCAGGGGTCTGGCATTCATTCTGCTCTATGCCATCTACAATGTTTTCTGGGTGGATGTCTGTCATGCTGATTTGCTTATCATTTTTTTCAGAAATTGCATTTTCCTCTTGAGTTCTTAACAGAGTTTCTCTTTGTTCAGTCCCTTTAGCAAGGCTTTCCCCATGATTATCTTCACTTGCTTTGAGCTGCTGCTCAGCATCTTCCTCTTCTGTGGATGAATCATGGCTAGAAGACGAGGTCCGAGTTTCTTCCACTTGTATTTGTTCCTCCGTAAGGTCATCTGGTGTCTGTTCCCTAGCCCAGGATGATTCTGTATGCTCGACTGTAGAATCTGCTTTGTCTCTTTGCTGTCGAACTACATTTTCCTTCTTATCCTCTTCATCAGTTCCACCATCCTGCTTTTCTTCATTGGTTATTGTAATACCTTGCTCTTTGATAAGCAAATCACCCTCAATAATTTTGTTTTCTGACTGTTCAATATCAGAATGAATAGCTGATGTTTTTGAAAGCATATCACCTACCAAGAATGGTGTTTCTGAATCACTGGAAACTGCTGCTTGGCTGTCATTCACAAACTCTAAAGCTCTTGGTTCTTCTTTAAATGTTGGATTATCTTGACTATCAGCAGCAGCATCTTCACTTTTATATGGGGTCTCAACCAGAGTTTTTTCATCATTTATGATTTCAGGTTTTAGCTCACTCTCTTTCCTAGAATCATTCTTGAGATCTACCTGCTTTCTCTCATGGGTCTGGCACTCATTCTGCTCTATGCCATCTACAACAATGTTTTCTGGGTTGATGTCTGTCATGCTGATTTGCTTATCATTTTTTTCAGGAACTGCATTTTCCTCTTGAGTTCTTAACACAGTTTCTCTTTGTTCAGTCCCTTTAGCAAGGCTTTCCCCATGATTATCTTCACTTGCTTTGAGCTGTTGCTCAATATCTTCCTCTTCTGTGGATGAATCATGGTTAGAATATGAGGTCTGAGTTTCTTCCACTTGTATTTGTTCTTCTGTAAGGTCATCTGGTGTCTGTTCCCTAGCCCAGGCTGCTTCTGTATGTTCGGCTGTAGAATCTGCTTTGTCACTTTGCTGTTGAACTACATTTTCCTTCTTATCATCTTCATCAGTTCCACCATCCTGCTTTTCTTTAGTAGTTATTGTAATACCTTGCTCTTCTGTAAGGTCATCTGGTGTCTGTTCCCTAGCCCAGGCTGCTTCTGTATGCTCGACTGTAGAACCTGCTTTGTCACTTTGCTGTTGAACTACATTTTCCTTCTTATCATCTTCATCAGTTCCACCATCCTGCTTTTCTTTAGTAGTTATTGTAATACCTTGCTCTTCTGTAATGTCATCTGGTGTCTCTTCCCTAGCCCAGGCTGCTTCTGTATGCTCGACTGTAGAATCTGCTTTGTCACTTTGCTGTTGAACTACATTTTCCTTCTTATCATCTTCATCAGTTCTATCATCCTGCTTTTCTTTAGTAGTTATTGTAATACCTTGCTCTTTGATAAGCAAATCACCCTCAATAATTTTGTTTTCTGACTGTTCAATATCAGAATGAATAGCTGGTGTTTTTGAAAGCATATCACTTATCAAGTCTGGTGTTTCTGAATCACTGGAAGCTGCTGTTTGGCTGTCATTCACAAAATCTAAAGCATCCTGAAATATTTCATTATGATTGTCCTCTCCCACATCAACTACAATAACTGCTTGTTTTTCATTATTTTGCTTTTGGGGAAGCATTTCTAAACCTGTAGATATTGCTTCACCAACCTCAATACCTGGAGATGTTTCTTTACTTTGGTTACTAACTTTATTTACATCGTTTTCATTCAACTCTTTCTCTTCTGAAGTATCACCAACTGACCTTCCTTCTATGCAAAATTCAACTACATCACTGTTTTTAGGGGAACAAACAATTCCTGGGACATGCTCTGTGTGACTTTTAGGTGGCTCCTCAAGCCCACTATTTAATACCAAAGTTGACGCAACTTTGCCTTCAGTGATTTTTTCTGCCTCCGCATTTTCATCTGCATGCAACGTCTTTATCTCCGAACACTCCTGTACAATTTCCTGCTCCTTAGTCTCCTCTGTGTGTTCCTCATGCTCAGTATTCTGCAAGATTTCTCTTTTCCCCACATTCTCCACAATCTCATTTTTCATTTCCACTTCATTGGCTTTGCCTAAAAGATTATTAAGAAAGTTGAAGGGACCACATTGTAGGGAAACTATTTAATCTTGTTATACGTAATGCTTACCTCCCCGCTTAAAACCCAGAAGAGAGAAGGAATCAAAAAGAACTGGTTAAGAAAGATCAGCTTTTGCCAATTATGTGAAGGCAAAGCAGCAGTTGAATTAGTAAGATGATCAGCAAAATGCATCTCTGTCCCGACTATCAACTGTACTACGTCTATCAATGTCACTTACGATAAAGTTTACAGATAAATATACCCACTTTCAATATTCTTTTTAAAAATATGGTAACTTGTACCCTTATCTGGTAGTCTAAATATATCTATATGGAAGCTAGTATGTATGTATGTATGCATGTATATATATATCTATATCTATCTATATCTATACGGCGCTCCATGCAGTCATGCCGGCCACATGACCTTGGAGGTGTCTATGGGCAACGCCAGCTCTTCAGCTTAGAAATGGAGATAAGCACCACACCCCAGAGTCAAACATGACTGGACTTAATGTCAGGGGACAACCTTTACTTTACTTAGTATATATATAAAGGTTTAAATTATGAATATCACTTCCCTTACACTTAAGTTGAGCCATGCATTTCCAGTGTACACATCTGTATAACTGGAATTATACACATTTAATGTCTTGATTTTCCTCTGAAAGGTAAAAACTTTGCCCTTCTGATTTGCCTGACAGTTTTTAGTACTTTGTGTTTTTTTTAATGGCATGGAAAATATTAGGACTCCTTGTAAATGTAGCTCTTTGAAAAATTACTACTATAGTGATAAAATGAACAATATCTTGTTGTAAAACATGGAAGTCAGCACAAAGAGTAGTAAATGTATATTACTAGTCAAATTTTACAAAATATCAACTATAATTTCTGGACTTTCCCCATATGTTGCTGGGGACTAGGGCAACCTCAGAATTGCTCACAACATTTTGGATGAGAGTTGTTTAAAGAAAATGTGCACAGGCTTGCCAGACAGCTAGGATCTCTTTGAATAATTCCCACCTCTGGACCTTGGAGAACAAAAGGAACTACTTTAGCATTCCCTGTTAAAAGCAAAGAAAAAGGTAATATGCTCGAAGTGATCATTTGCAATAAGCAAAAAGTCAAATATACAGAAGTGATTGAACAAGCAGCATGCTAATGATTGGTTAGTTGTTCAGATTATAAAAGATTTCAAGCAAAGCTAGCAATTAAAAACACACAGCCGAAAGCCAACACTTACCAAGCATGCCATCCTCAGGTCCCCCTGGGATGTGACTTGTGCCTGAGACCATCTTGGAAGAACTCGATAGTCCATCATTATGAAGGCCACCAGAGGTTTCTCCATTGGTAGCTACCTCTAAATTGGGGATTATTCCATATTGCTGTAAGTGAAACAACAAAGTAGCAATATGACATCACAGTACTACTGAGGCAGCGCCCCTTAAAGATTTCCTAAAAGGGATTAAAGAATCTATAAAAACTAATACAGAAACTCTACCATATAACCTGATTTTACCTCTACGGTTAGTACCCAGTCAACTTGTTTTCGCTGAATAAGATAATTATGGTTATTATCAAATTAGGGAACCAAATGCTCTGTAATTTATAACTAGATTTACCCGGCCACGTGTTGCTGTGGCATAGTCTGGTGGTATGCAAAATTAAATAAAAAAATTTTTTGTCGTGTCAGGAGTGATTGCAAGTCGCTCCTGGTGTGAGAGAATTGGCCGTCTGCAAGGACGTTGCCCAGGGGACGCCTGGGTGATTTGATGTTTTTTTATCATCCTTGTGGGAGGCTTCTCTCATGTCCCCGCATGAGGAGCTGGAGCTGATAGAGGGAGCTCATCCGCCTCTCCCCAGATTCGAACCTGTGACCTGTCGGTCTTCAGTCTTGCCGGCACAGAGGTTTAACCCACTGCGCCACCGGGGGCTCCAATTAAATAATGAAGAAGTGCTTATTTTTAATATATTTTATTTCTTAAAGCTTGTTGGAGAGATCCCCAAAGGCCACCTAGTGAACCATCCTTCTACCATAATGGAACACAAATAAAGCCCTCCCATGAAATGACCACCCAGCCTCTGCTTAATAATAATAATAATAATAATAATAATAATAATAATAATAATAATAATAGAATCCTAGAGTAGGAGACTTCCAAGGGCTATCCAGTCCAGCCCCTTCTGCCACAAAGGAAAAGCACAATCCAAGCACTCCTGACAGATGGCCATTCAGCCTCTGCTTAGGACGAGGAGGAAGAGGAAGAGGAGGAGGAGGAGGAAGAAGAAAAAGAAGAAGAGGAGGAGGAGGAGGAGGAGGAGGAGGAGAATCCTAGGTTAAGAAGAGACTTTCAAGGGTCATCCAGTCCAGCGCCTTCTGTCATAAGGGAAAAGCACAATCAAAGCACCCCCGTCAGATGGCCATTCAGCTTCTTCTTAATAATAATAATAAGAATAAGAATAATAGCAGAATCCTAAGTTAGGGAGAGACCTCCCAGGACTATCCTGTTCTGCCCCTTCTGCCATAAGGGAAAAGCACTCAATGCACTCCTGACAGATGGCCAGCCTCAGCTTAATAATAATAATAATAATAATAATAATAATAGAATTCTAGGTTAGGAAGAGACCACCAACGACCATCCAGGCCTTGCCCAGGCACAGTCGCCATGACAACCTTTTTTTAGGATTTGTAAGTTCTTTTTAGTTCTTTTTTTGTTTTTTATTATTGTTGGTCACACCTTGCATTGTGAGACATTTTGTTGCCAAATTTGGTGGGATTTCGTTCATTAGTTCTTTTGTTTTTAAGGTACTCATTACGCACAGAGCATTTATATATATATAGATTGATCTTTGTCAACAAGTTATGTAAGCAATTGTATATAAATATGTGCTCTGTTTAAATCATGGTGTGTGGAAACCCCTTGATTCAGCTCCCAGGCTGAGGTTTCTCGCCATTTTCCATTGTTGCAGTATAGCTTTGAAGTTTGAATTCTGCTCTAGCTTCTTCTGCCCCATTTGTGTGCCCACGGGCAGGCTGCTGTCTGCTGCTACACTATCAGCATGAAATTTGTTTGCAAAGACCTGAAACAAAGATGTGGCAAAGCTCATGTGTATGAGTATAAAGGTAATTGTCTGAGGACAGGTAAATACAGCTGATTTAATAAGAAAGACTGTGATAGAAAACCTAAATATTAAATAAATGTTTCTTTGCAAAAATAACAATTGTTAGTTAGTTTTTTATTCTAATCATCCCTCCAGTAAGCTCAGAGCAACATTTTATTGTCTCATGAAGATGATATAAGATTTGGTCCACTTGGCCCAAAGCCATCTGAACCAAAGTTAATTACATTGGCCTTCCTCTGTTGGTGATCCGGAAGCTCAAGTTGGTACAAAATGCAGCTGCTCGGCTTCTTGCAGGAATTCCGATGAGATGCCACATAACACCAATCTTACTACAGCTGCATTGGTTACCAATTGAGCACCGGATCACTTTCAAAGTGATGATACTCACCTTTAAGGCCTTGCATGGTCTGGGACCGATGTACCTGAGGAACCGCCTCACCCCCTACCAACCCCAGAGATCCCTCCGTTCTGAGGACCAAGATTTGTTGGAAATTCCCAGTGTCAAGACCTTGCGTCCAACAGCAACCAGACGCAGAGCCTTTACAGCAGTGGCACCATCACTCTGGAATACCCTGAAGTCTGTGCCTTGCAGGACCTATCAGCTTTCCGCAGGGCATGTAAGACATATCTGTTTCTACAGGCCTTTGATTTTTAATATTGCTGTTTTTAAATTGTTTTAAATTGTTTTTAAATTGTGTTAGATTTTAGCCGTTCTTGTAAGCTGCTCCGAGCCCCAGGGGAGTGGCAGCATATAACTTCGAATAATAAACAAACAAACAAATAAATAAATAATATACCTAAGCAAGGGTGGATTTTTCAAGCTTAGCACCCCAGCTTACCAAATACCTCTTACTCCCTCTATGCTCTGAAGCCAGTACAGGTTGAGTTGCAGGCATCTGACTTACATTCAACTTCTAATTAAGAATGGAGGTGAGGAAGTGAGAGGAAGTCCACCCCTAGGAAGGGAAATTCACTCCTGGAAGAGTTGCCATGGGAAAAAGGTGTCTGCACTGAAGCTTTATCCTTGTTTCCACAGCAACCCAGATTTTTCAAAATCCAATAATAACAGGCACAGAACATAAGGTGAAATCTTCTGAACAGGGGCACAGACAACAAAATAAACACCATGGGGATGTTAACACTTCCCTTTGCTATCCAAAACTTTAATTGAAAGGCTGAAGTTACATCAAAAAATGTCTCTGTTCTGACTTACATATACATTCCACTTAAGAACAAACCTACAGAACCTATCTTGCCCGTAACCCAGGGACAGCCTTTTTCCTACTTTCATTTTTTCTGATATTTTTCAAAGGAGAAAGCGCTCTTCTGGCATAAGGGAAAGCATATATAATATCAGTTCACAAAATTGGGTATGTCTTAAAATCTCAGTCAAATTAACAAGACATGCTTTAATTTAATGTTACTCTATACTAGATAATCAAAAGTAACTGAATTACATCTAGCGGAAATGTGTACAGCATAAACCTTTACAGCAAGAAATAAAGATTTTTCCCACTTTGCCAATGTTTTAACAATATGCCCATCATTACTGCAGAGCTCTAGCCAGCTTCTTCTCTAGTACGGAGAAAGAAACCATTATTTACTCCTTTTAGGACTTCCGTCTTCAATTGTTTCTGCGTACCTTCAATTGTTCCTTCAGCAGAACCACCTCCTCTCTAAGATCATCTCGCTCACATCTTATGGAATCAAAGAACTCTTTCTGCCTCTCTAATGCCTGAGGTTTTTTCAGGAGCAAGCAGAAGATAAAGAGACAACAAGAGGAGAAAAGGAGGATGGGGAAAAATAAAGATAAAGGAAAATTAGCAATAAGAATGGGTAGATTTCAGATATGCAAAAGAATAATGGGATTTACATGCAAGAGGAGAAAGGAATTTCACTGCAGTGTTTGTGGGTGTTATTAAAGGAATTTACAGGGTCTTAGTAAGTAGTATTTGCATCAGTGCACCATGTCAGAACAGCCTAAGCAATAATCAAATGCTCTGGACAAGAATAATGTCTTGCGATGTTTGGCTTGGAACTTGCAAATTTTGTTTGAGAGACAGACGATCCATATCACTAGCCTAATATCACAAATGTTGATTTTTATCCTGGTCTTCTCATTCTCCCGTTTATGGTTAGGGTTTTTTTTTTTTTTTTATTAAATGGGCTGCACATAAATGCAATGGTAAGCTAACGTAGATCAGAATAATTTTAAAGCTTCCTTTTCTCATTGTGATGGCGAAGGTGTTTTCCCACTGTTACAGTAGCCACAAGATAGTGGAAATGCAGAACACTGAGAATTACAGTATGCTTAGCTTTACACTCAAACCCAAACTATAAAGATATTTGGTCAACATATCAGGAAAGATGCAGAATGAGCTGTAGCAAAGAATCTTGCATAACATCTAGAACAGAGGTCCTCAAGCTTCTTAAACAGAGGGCCAGGTCACAGTCCCTCAACTGTTGGAGGGCCGCATTATAATTTGAAAAAAAAAATGAATGAATGCACACTGCACATATCTTATTTGTAGTGCAAATAACACTTAAAAACAACACAATAATTAAAATGAGGAACAATTTTAACAAATATTTATTTGTCGTGTTAGGAGCAACTTGAGAAACTGCAAGTCGCTTCTGGAGTGAGTGAATTGGCCATCTGCAAGGACGTTGCCCAGGGAACACCCAGATGATTTGATGTTTTTATCATCCTTGTGGGAGGCTTCTTTCATGTCCCCGTATGAGGAGCTGGAGCTGATAGAGGGAGCTCATCTGCCTCTCCCCAGATTTGAACCTGCGACCTGTCGATCTTCAGTCCTGCCGGCACAGGGCTTTAACCCACTGTACCACCGGGGGCTCTTTAACAAATATAAACTTAATAGTATTTCAATGGGAAGTGTGGGCCTCCTTTTTGCTGATGAGATAGGATTGTTGTTTTGTGCTTTCAAGTCGTTTCAGACTTAGGCTGACGCTGAACAAGGGCCGGGTAAATGACCTTGGAGGGCCGCATCCAGCCCCCGGGCCTTAGTTTGAGGAGCACTGATCTAGAATATTTAGAAAAATAAAGAGGACATTTCTTGTTCTTTCACTGAAGAAACAATTCTGACTTTTTCTGCTGAGACCTAATGAGCAAAGAATGCTCCAAAGATAAGACTCTGTTGTAGAATTCTTCTATTATGTAAAGTGTAATCATTTTTGTTATTGCTGAATATATTTATATCTGTCTTTTCACACAGAACCACAGAAAGTGGTAGCTTTCCCGTGGTTTTAAATTATGGTTAATGCACTTTGTATGATTGAATTGAGTATTAATATACGAGGGGTATTTTTTAAGTAAGGTCCGTTTTGTTGTAGACACTAGTAGTTCGCGCGCATACCGCAACGAGCGCGTGCGTCGTGTACCGGCATGCCTCGGGAACAACTGTGCTCAGTTTCCGCTCTGTAGCTAACCTGTACGGTTCTGTTCTGTGCTTTAAAAATGTTTAAGACTATCAACTCACCCTCTGCATGTGAGGTTCGCTCAGTGATATGGTTTTTGTGAGCAAGGAACCTGCCTGCTGCAGAAATTCATCAACAGATTTGTGAAGTGTACGGTGATACTGTTATGAGTGAAAGCAAAGTGCGTAAGTGGGTACGACAATTCAAAGATGGCCGTGACAACGTCCATGATGAGGACCGCTCCGGTCGCCCTTCTTTGATTACAGACGATTTGGTGGCTTCAGTTGAAGCGAGGATTCGTGAGAACAGGCACTTCACAATTTGTTCAGAGGTATGATAAGTGTTTGAACAAACTTGGCAACTATGTCGAAAAATAGAGTGAAGTATGTACTTTCTGAAAATAAATTTACTTTTTTGAAAGAAACTTTTGTTGTGTACTTATGTTCCAACGGACCTTACTTAAAAAATACCCCTATAACAGTGAGTCTCAACTTGTGGGTCCCCAGATATTTTGGCCTCCAACTCCCAGAAATCACAAGAGCTGGTAAACTGGCTGGGATTTCTGATTCAGGTCAAAACACCTGGGGACCCAGGTACTGGTAAGGGGATACTTCCCTTGGCAACACACAGCACAGACATAGCTTAAGTAACCAGAGAAGAAACCATTTTTAAAATCTGTTATATTTCCTTTAGGAATCCCATACCACAGACACACAAAAATGTAAAATTCAAAGCTTTCTGTGGAAAAAACATGAAAACTAAGAAACTTTGAAGATACTTCTTCAGCTCCTATAATATTTCTATTGCAGTGTTTCTGGCATCTGAATTCTAGTCCAAAATCACAAATTCCATCCCTAACAAACTACAATCAAGATATTTTTTGTAGCCATCACTTATATTTCAAAAGAATGCAAGATTGTCTTACAAAAAAAGAGCATGTGTGCACATTTTGTTGACCTGTCAGGAGTTTAATTCAAAATTTATTCAAAATAATAGGATTTTTTTAAAAAAAAAAAGCAATGGAGAAAATTTGAGGAACTCTCCCCATGAACTGATTATTTCCAATATGGTACATGAAGAATGGGAGCCCCACCAAACCCCAAAGGGCACAAAGCAGCAAGTCAACAGGTTGAAGGAACTCTTTTGTGCCCAGCCCATGGCAATGAGTCTTACTGCTTCCGTACCATTTTCTCATTTTAATTGGGATCACTAATAATCTAAGCATTTTATATGTTTGTGAGTCCTACCCCTATCTTTTTTTCTTTCCATTCTATTGTCTCTTGAAGGTCAGAGATTTCCCTGACATAGCCCTCTTGTTTCTGTTGTAGCTGTCGGATTTCCTGAGGTGCAGGAGGAAACAAGAAGACAGAAAGCAGACAAGAAAGTTAATCAGGAAAAAAACAGTGTTGCAACATTTATAAAGTGCAATTAATTTTTCTGAAGTTACAAAAACTAAGATAAAGAAACCGACCCACCTGCAGAAATTCCATGATATTGCCCTGCAAAACTTTTTTCTCTTAGGGGACACTACAAGTATGGCTAAGGTACATTGTAGCAAGAATTCAGAAGCCAACCTGTAGCTTAGACAGTAGAAGGAGGCCAAAGACACCAAGGCCCATCTCCTGCTTACCTTCTGCATTCCCAAAGGCACTGAGGGGTAGGGAAAGGGCAGATTGCTTAGCAGTAACTGTGGTTCTTCAGCAGTGTTCTCAACCTATGGGTCCCCAGGTGTTTTGGCCTACAACTCCCAGAAATCCCAGCCAGTTTACCAGCTGTTAGGATTTCTGGGAGTTGAAGGCCAAAACATCTGGGGACCCACAGGTTCTAGGAGTTATCTGTGAACTCACACAAATGGGATGCCATTGAAAACTTCTAGAGCTAAAATCTATTTGGTGGAAATCCTAACCCCTTCTCCACCAATTATGCTCTATACCAATGATGGTGAACCCTTTAGAGACCAAGTGCCCAAACCAGATTGGCAGGGGGCACTCAGGGGGTGGGTGAGCAAGGGGCAGCAAGTGAGCAGAGTAAGAGTGGCTGAGTGAGCGGGCACATGGGCAAGTGTGGGGGTAAGCACGTGGATGAGCAGGCAGGCGTGGGGGGCAAGCAGTGAGGAAGTGAGGAAAGAGTAGGGGCAGAGCAGGAGGTGAGCAAGCAATGGAGTGGGCAAGAGGGGGTAAGTGTGGGGGGCAAGCAGTGGGTGGATGAGAGAAGTAAGAGGAGAGTGGGTGACAGTGCATTGTGCCAGTAGAGAGCACGCTTCTGGCACATGCATCACAGGTTCACCACCACTGCCCTATACAGTTCCCTATCTACCAGAGTGGCATAGCAAATAATGTAGTCAAGCATAAGACAAAGAAGAGACAAAGGATTGTGTGAGATCACAGATGACCATCTGAAGAGCCACAGTTACATGATTAACAAATTATTCATCAGGATGGAAGTTGAGCTATGCTTGTAAACTGAAACACAGCTCAGCCAAAGGAGAAGGAATCTCTGGCATGAACATCTACTCTATAATGACTCATGAAAGAAAGCAGATTTTGAGGTATACTGGTCGGTCTTCATTAAGTATGCCTTAGAGAGCGAAAATGGAAAACAACAGAACTTTGTTGGTCAGGAATTTTGGATATGACATTTGATTAATGGTTGATTTATAAATACAGGGTGAAGGAAAGGATACTTGTTCAGGTCTTGGTGGTGGGGTTATGTGTTTGTAAAATGTTCACTGTTTTGTGTTTTGTTTACACTGTAAGTTGTTATCGTATGTAAATAAAATCTATTTTTTAAAAAAAGAAAGCAGTTGGCCTAGGTAATTGCCTAACATGTGAATGCATGGCCAAACCTGCTGAGAAAATAGAGGAGGCTGAAGCAGTCCCTGCAAAGAAAGGACTGGTGGATGGGAGTAATGGCTTCTTAGCCAACTATAGGAAACCAAGATGGTAACAGCAACCTATTTAGAGATAACTTGATAGCCTTGTCCATGAGCCCCAGAGCCTAGATGATTTCCTAAAATGTTTGATCATGTCAACATAAAAAACAAGAGCACAACAGATATCTGAGGTATGCCAGGAAGAGTCTTCTTTACCAGATAGCTTGGGGAAGAGATAGGCAGGGACAGCTCCTGAATAATTTGAAATAAGTAAGCAACTTTATATAAAATAAATGACATCTGGAAAGGAGCTCACTTTATCTCTTATGAACTGGAGGGGGGTGGGACAACGCACAAAGCAGCCAATTCAATGGGCTTTCGAGTTATGGAGGAAACCACAAGGAATAATATATTCCATGTGAGAAACTTCAAGTAGCAAGTCACAAGTGGCTCAGTTGGATGCTCTGTTTACTGAGAGAGAACTAATCACAAATCCCAGACTGGAGTGACAGGAGTCCAGGGAGGAAAGGTTTTTGCAAATCCCTTAAGAAAGGTTTTAAGTGAAAGAGGCACATACCAAGAACCTTCTCATAATTATTGTTGTGGTGGAAGAACCTTCTCAATTGTAGATTTGGAAGATATTGATTTCCTTTCAGAGGACATGAGTTGTGTAAAGCAAAAAAATAAAACACACACACACACACAAAACCCCGTGGCAGTAGGGGTGAATGGTATAGATATAGGCAATGATACTGAAGACCCAAAATCTGTAGTCATCAAGTTCCAAGAGGGGGGACAGTGGGAAAGAGGGGTTTGTGGAAAAGAGGGAAGAGGTGGCATTAAAAATGTTTACACCTCCACTGTTTCTTTTTGTAGCTAGAGTGGTACTTGCCAGAAAACCGAGGAGTGACACAAAGTGGAACTTTGAGAAGATTGCTCAGAGTGCTGTGGAGAGTGAGTAGACACAGCAGGAATAGAGTAATGGGACCAAGATAATTTTTGCTTCTGTTGGTAAGAAGACTGCTGTAAACTGTAGTTATTTGTAGGATATGCTCCAGCTTTCATCAGTGGCAGCACTGAAAGGCTCCATGATAGCTCTAACTTCTGAAGAGAGGCCTGATAAATGCAGCCATGCCTGACGTGTCATGGGATCTGCTGTGCAGCCAAGTTATAAACCTCAATGTGGAAGACAATGACAGCTTTCCTACCATCCTTGGATAACTTCTTCAATTTCTTTTGTGTCATGAGCAACTTGAGAAACTGCAGATTGCTTCTGGTGTGAGAGAATTAGCTGTCTGCAAGGATGTTGCCCAGGGGACGCCCGGATGTTTTGATGTTTTACCATCCGTGTGGGAGGCTTCTCTCATGTCCCCGCATTGGGAGCCGGAGCTGACAGAGGGTGCTCATCTGCACTCTCCCTGGATTCGAACCTGTGACCTGTCGGTTTTCAGTCCTGCCAGCACAAGGGTTTACCCACTGTGCCACCGGAGGCTTCTTCAATGAGTTACCTTTTAACACAGGTACTGTTAACAGAACAAAATGCAGGCCTGATAGCTCAAAATGCATAGAGATGATGCAACAGTGGAACAGGATTTCCAGACTATTGAGGCAAACTTGTGGTCCCCGGTGGTAAAGTGAGACTTGCTTGATGGTTTGGAAAATAATAATAATAATACACTTTATTTATACCCCGCTACCATCTCCCCAAGGGACTCGGTGCGGCTTACATGACGCTGAGCCCATAATACAACAATACATAGAATCATAGAATCAAAGAGTTGGAAGAGACCTCATGGGCTATCCAGTCCAACCCCCTGCCAAGAAGCAGGAATATTGCATTCAAACTCACCCTGACAGATGGCCATCCAGCCTCTGTTTAAAAGCTTCCAAAGAAGGAGCCTCCACCATACTCCGGGGCAGAGAGTTCCACTGCTGAACGGCTCTCACAGTCAGGAAGTTCTTCCTCATGTTCAGATGGAATCTCCTTCTTGTAGTTTGAAGCCATTGTTCCACGTCCTAGTCTCCAAGGAAGCAGAAAACAAGCTTGCTCCCTCCTCCCTGTGGCTTCCTCTCACATATTTATACATGGCTATCATATCTCCTCTCAGCCTTCTCTTCTTCAGGCTAAACATGCCCAGCTCCTTAAGCCATTCCTCATAGGGCTTGTTCTCCAGACCCTTGATCTTTTAGTTGCCCTCCTTTGGACACATTCCAGCTTGTCAATATCTCTCTTGAATTGTGGTGCCCAGAATTGGACACAATATTCCAGGTGTGGTCTAACCAAAGCGGAATAGAGGGGCAGCAAGATCTTTTTCACACGTACTGCTCCCGAGCCAGCAATAATAAGCAATAACAACAACAATACAAGCAATTAAAATCAAACAAAACAATAAAACAATAACATAAGCATTAACAGTAGGACAACACACTTTAAAATCTATGGAAAAGGTTTGGACCTTGTTGATAACTGAATTCAGAAGTGGATACTTAAAGAGCATAAGAGTCTTGAACACAGTACAGGTTCTCAATACATTTGGATGCTGAAGGAATCAAAGACGACAATTTTCAGGAGAACTTTGCTATCCCTAGCAAAGCAGGTATAGGAAGGAATGGTGGCTGAGTGTGAGTGTGAGAAGCAATGCAGCAAAACAATGTGGGAAACATTTGTCTAATGTCCTCTAAATCCATGGAGGTCAATCAAGGAGAAGTAGGATCCTGGTAGATCATAGGATCAGAAGAGGCAAAGGACATGTTCATAACCAGAGGCGATTCTTGTTGATCTTGTTGTTGGAGGAACGTCCTCATATCATGCTAAATCTGGTGGAGGAGGTACAGGCCTTGGATATGGTTTCCATAGATGGCAGTGGCAGGTCAAAAAGAGAGAGATGGAGGCAGATGGGATACTGAGCTTAAGGGTTGGGTGAACTTCTTGAATTCAGGACTAATACAGTTTTTAAAGCATGATCTATACCAGTCTCTGTTAAGCACATCAGGTGGTGAATGACGTGCAGGGTTTTAAAGATATGATATATATTTGAATGTGGAAAGGGATAACAGTGATCACAGGGTGGAGGAGGAGGTGGCTGATGACAAGATGATTCATGATCACAATCAGTTTCTGAGGCTGATACAATACCGCAGAACTGTGAAAGGAGACTGATCAATGGCTTGGAGTAGCTGAATGGCCCTGAGTAAAAGTGCAGATAGAAGAGTGGTAGACCACTTCATCTTCAGAATGTAAACCCAAGCACTGCACTTCCAACAAATTAAACTCTGGAAAGCTCAGGTTCAAGCCTTTTGCAAGCTGGATCTAGATAAACTGTGAGTTGAAATTACAAAAAAGAAAAAGAAAAAAAAAGACTTATGGCACCATAGGATTTATGGCACCAAGGAAAAACTGCATGTCTGTTGCATTTGATGTCTTCTCACATGTCAGAGGATCATTGGTAGGTTTCTTGTACTTTTTGTTTTTATTTGAATTCTCAGAGGGTAAGCCTTTTGGGGTTCATAAAGCTCAAGGTGTTGCAAATGATGAGGGCTTCAGTGTAGGTTTCAAGGCTATTGATCCCATTGCTAATAGACCTTGGATACTAAAACTGACAATACTGTAGAGCACAAAGTGATACTTATAGAGGCTTTGAACAGAGGCCTGTTTTAACCAGTGAGTCTGAATAAATGACTCACAAAGAAGGGCATTAACATGTGACTGTTTGTTTTACACACTTGGCATGAAAAGGCTCTTCAATTAGGGCACTTATCCACAATATGGCCTATACTTAAGCAAAGAAGTCAGTTTAAGTGGTTGTATGTTTGGGAAATAATCTTCTCACAATTGAGGCACTTTTTATGTTGTAGTTCGGCTGGTAGAAGGGAGAAGAGGCCTGCGCAGGTGTTGGAAGAGGAGCAACAACGAAAGCGGATTAGGGAGATAATCATGGCTCCGAGTGATTCTGAAACCTTTGACGGCTTCTCCGACTGTGAAATGGGAGATGGGGAGGAAAGCAGGGGAGTCAAGCAGGCTACTCGCGAACATGAATCCAACGAGGAGATTCAAAGGAAGCGTATCCATGATATACTTAGCGCTCCTACAGAGGATGAGGACTTCATGGGGTTTGAAGGGAGTGATAGGTCGGGGAGTGACACGGGGGAGGAGGATGAGCTGGATTGGACCAGTGTACAAGAAATTAGGGATATCTGTAATCAACCCACCTCCAGCGAGGACTTTGAGGGGTTTACAGGGGAATGGCAACCGGGAAGCACTTGGCAAGATCTAAGTTGCTGGCAGAGGTGGAGGAATGTGTGCTCGGGTTTAGCTGCAGGGAATGGCGCAGCTGAGAGCGATGATGAAAGGGTGGGGAGCTCCTCAGCTTCTGATGAGGAGATTTAGGATAAAAATGGGGTTTTGTTGTATGGATCTTTGCAGAAGGCAAAGTGTCTCTTTTGGGGTGTGAATCTTTGTTGCTGCCAATTCTCGAGCTTGGGTCCTTGGACTACAGATTCCTGTGTACCTGCGTTCCTGTGTTTACTTCTACTCTGCCGCTTGACTCCAGGCTGTTTTGACCAACGCTTTTTTGCCACTTGGATTTGGACAACTTGCCTACCACGTGCTTCGACCTTGGAATGTTTTCTGAACTCTGTTTTTGCTTCTTTGTACTGTGCTTTTTGAACTTTGTGAGTTTAAAGCAGATTGCTGTATTTTGTGTTGAACCGGATTAAATGCCAGAATAATCCGGGTTATATTTCAGTTACTTACATTGCCTTATTTTTGATGCCAAATTGTTGGCTGAGCTTGGGGCACTGAAATTAAGTGCTCCAAAGACTCTGTTGTGAACAATAAATTTGTGTTTGGACCTTTAACCTTGTGTTTGGCTTTACTGAGCCTTCTGGGTCGTGACATTTTATATAAAGCTGTAGACAACATAAACTTGAGTCTAAGCCCACTGACAAATAAAAGGGTGGGAAAAAGAAAGAGGAGAGGGAAAAGAAGAAATGGTGAATGAAAGGGAACTGAGGAAGTTTTAGGGGAACCATGCATAGGGTATGTGTGGTAGAGGGGGGAATGAGGCCCCCACTGACAAAATCTTAACTCTAGAAGTTTCCAAAGATAGGCTGTGCAGGTACGGAAATTCCATGTGTGAGTCATACAGACTACAAAGAAAACATATACTAATTGCAGTGAGCACCCATCAAATCTGTTAACATGTATTTTAATAGGTAATCTGAACACTGTTAACATTTGACAGAAAGTGCATCATTCCTTGAATCTGATTTTTGCCACATTTGTCAAAGCATGAGTCATCACAACTGCTCTACTTTGATTGCAAAAATACATAGATCATTTTAAAATGACTAGACTGTCTTGACCCATTTATTTATTTATACATACATAGATGCTAGAAAAGGAATCATGCTACTGCAACTTTTCTACTGCATTAACATCTGATTAAAGAAACAAGTATTCTGAATCTTTTATTTGGCACAGCCATTACCAGCGTTCTCTTCTTACTCCAATAACCCATTTACAAAAGATTTGGGTAGTATAAAGAGATTTTAAAATATTTAAACTATCCCCATCTCATACTTCTCTAGCCAAGTTTTTATCCTAGTAATAGTCCCACTTTCTTTTCAGATAGTCAACTCCAGTGTTTCAAACCATGGAAGTCAACTAGACCATCGACTAAGTGTTTTAGTCGATGGTCAAGAAATAGCTCTTTAATTCAGAACAACAGACACTTACAGATCCGTGTAAGTTAGACCCAGTTATTACACACATAGCAGTACTTTAAACCTTTGAAAAAGAGAAATGTTATATGCATCTGAAAAATAAAAGGAAAACTTCTACCTGTAATGACGTGTACATAGTTGGTTTTTTGTTGAGCAGCACCAAAGGAGAATTTAACTTAGAACAATGTACTAAAAAAAAATCTTGCTTCAATGGTTCCACCAAACACAGAGGCTTCCCATTACAATTGATTTTGAAGAATTACATTTTGTGAAAAAATCTAAAACTAGAACAAAACTTCTGTGTATTCCATCGGAAAACACACAAACAAACAGTGATCTTGTTTATTTAATTAAAGTTTTACTTACTGCAAGTAATTCTTCTCTTTGTTTCAGAGCTTCTTTGACTTCCACGAACTGGAACTTCAATGTGTTGTGGGCATGTTTTTCCCTCTCAAATTCCTACCAAAATAGGAATTCTACAATTAGCATGTGAATTTCTTAACACAGGTTGAGTATCTTTTAGCCTAAATGCTTGGGATCAGAAGTGTTTTAGACTGGATATTTTTTGATTTTGGAATATCTGTATTTACATACATGTCCATAATGAAACATCTTGGAGATGAAACCCACATTTAAATACATTAAATTATGTTGCATATACACCATATACACAAAGCATGAAGGTACTTTTATACAAAATTTAATTTTGCACATGAAACGAAGTTTGTGCTCACTGAACTATCAAAAAGATGTCAGTAGCTCAAACACCCATGTGGACAATTTCAGATTTTTGAGTATTTTGGTTAAGGGAAGCTGTTGTAGTAGAGCCTGTGAGTAACGTTACAAACAGTAGTATGGGTGCCTGAAGGGGGAAAAGGGTTATTCAGGAGCAGGAATCTGATGATGAGCAGCAGAGAAAGAGGATCTGAGACATATTTACAGCACCTACAGATGAGGAGTCAATTCGAGGGATTCTTTGGGGACGATGGGTCCAGTAGTATGGGTGCCAGAAGGGGGGAAAGAGTTACTCAGGAGCAGGAATCTGATGATAAGCAGCAGAGAAAGAGGATCTGGGACATATTTACAGCACCTAAAGATGAGGAGTCATTTGAGGGATTATCTGGGGATGATGGGTCAATGAGTGAAGGAGAAAAAGGAGACACCATGGATTGAACTAAGATAAGGGAAGTGCAAGCTATTTATGAGGAGCCAACAACTAGTGATACCTTTATGGGGTTCTCTGGGAGTGAAGACTGGCAATCAGGGGATCCAACTGAGTCTTGGGGGGACCTAAGTCTTGACAGGAGATGAAGGAATTGGAGGGAAGGACAAGGGAATTCATGTGAAGAGCTGGGAGCAGCTGCGGGGGATAATGATGGGGTGGTGGTCAGTTCATCTTCTGATGATGATTTGTAAATAAAAGTGAGTTCAGGGGTGATGGGTCCTTGCAGAAGGCAAGGTGTTGATGGACATTCATGTGTTGGGTGCTGTGTATTGGAAAATATTATTGTAGACTTGCTGCTGCCTGTTTTGTGTTTGGGGTTGGTATAAGATCTGCATTTTGGACCTCTTGATCATTTGTGTGTTATTGACGCGGATTGGCTTCTCTTTTGTTTTAATAAACTCTGTTTTGAAGCCATTTTTGAATCTGGTCCTTTAAGGTGTCTGTGATTCCAACAGAAGCTCAATCTGTACAAACAACCATCCTAATTTTTAAGGCTGTTACATTATTTCTCCCTCTCAGTACTTCAGATACTCCCACTTGTCAATGTCCCTTTTTGATGTTATTATAAGCATGGTTAGACATGGAAGCAATATGTGACACTCAAATATTATTCTTAAATATACACATAGCCCTTCCTTTGACCAACAGTCTGGAGGCATAAATTTTTATACGACTTTGGCTGCACTCATTATAAATAGACAGATAATAGAGTGAGGACTAAAGAGAAAATGGAGGACGGCAAATAAAACCAATACATGATGCCATGTATTTCATCTTATATACTTACATTATGTGTGAACTCACCATGAATTACCAATGTATCCGTTGAAGATAAGATCCTTTTAAATAAACTTAAGTTAAGAGCTTGCAAAGCTTAGAACTACCACAGTGATTATTATCTTAGTAAAATTCAGAAAATGACTTCTCTTTTGGTGTTACTTACTTTGCTTTTTTCATCATACTCCCTCTTGGATTCTGCAAGTTCTTCCTCTAATTCAAACAATGCATCTTTCAGGTTGTCTACTTGATACATGAAATTGGTTTTTTCATTATCTAATTGAGCATTTGATACCATAGCCTTCTTATATTTCTCTTCAACTTCAGCTAGAGAGTCCTAAAGTTAAGAAAGAAACAAGATCAAGAAGTCCCTTTAGTTTTCAAATCATGTCCAACTACTCCAAAACTTTTGAATATACACTGAAAATATACTTTTCACTGGGATTAAAGCTCACAGTTTAGGGCCTATAGTTTATCAAGACCACTTTTTGCTCTCTTTATAAATCCAAATAACTACATGATATTTTACAGTCTGTCTTACAAATAGAGATGTACAATTTCTGGAAATTTTGAAACCATGGAAAAAAGATTATTTATCTTGGAGAAGGACATATATTTTCAGCAAAATTGAAAGCAAATATAAAATCAGCAGAGATTGAAGGTCATTTTGTTACTTTAGGAACATAAAAGGCACTATGTATAATATGGCTTGGTATAAAGGTATCATATTTGATATCAAGAAGGGGTGTCAAACTCATTTTTACCGAGGGCCACATCAGCTTTATGGTTGCCTTTACAATTTCTAGTTGAAAAACTGTATAAATGTAACTATGTTGAAATAAAATGACTTGGTGGGCTGGATTTGGCCCGTGGACCTTGTGTTTGATACATGTGATATAATAGAACAGATTATTTAGGAAAGTGGTTCTTATCCTGTGGGTCCCAGGTGTTTTGGCCTACAACTCCCAGAAATCCCAGCCAGTTTATCAGATGTTAGGATTTCTGGGAGTTGAAGGCCAAAACATCTGGGGACCCACAAGTTGAGAACCACTGATTTAGGATATAATTACTATTTGAATTTACTTTTTAATCATAGTGTCAGACATGGAGCTACAAGGTTTGGAAGCATATGGAGCTAAAAGAGTTCACCTCACTTTTGCCAATGTACAGGGAGACTGCCAAAAAAAACCAAACCAAACCACAACAAAACAAAAAAACACCAGAACTCCACCAAACTAGCCCAATATTTTAAAAAGCCCCAAAAGCATCAATATTGGTAAAAATAAACAGATTTTTTTTGTCTCTTCTTCTCCACAAAAGCAAGCAGACGCCAAACCCTCATTCGCATAAAAAGAAACGAAAAGAGAAAATCAAGACCAGGAATAACAGCCATGTGAGAGACTGTAGATAGTGTTATATAGATGTCTTCTGCTACATAATTTTTAGAAATAATATTGAAGGATTAAATGTATGAATACCTTTTATTAAATATTTTGTTTTTCATTCTAAAATCTTCTGAAAAAGACTTCCAAAAATGAAAAACCATTTTCTCTCCCCCCTCCTCCCACATTTTTTTTACTTTGTTTCCTCCAGTGCATATCAGATAAATGCATTTTATCAGTGGATTTTAAATTGTATTTTAACCCTTGTGTATCTTGGTTGTATTTCACTTAGTAGTGTTTTATCTCTTGTTTTAATTATGTCGTGTCCCACCTCGAGGCCCACAGAGAGGCAGGTAATAAATTCATTACAACTACTACTAGTACTACTTGGCAGACGAAATTATTGTGAGATGTGAAATATTTAAATTTCTATTTCTATGGAATACAGAAGAACTATCAAGGTTACTAAGATCTTCTGGAGGGGCCCTGCTCTTGGTCCCACCACCTTCGCAATCGCATTTGGTGGGAACGAGGGACAGGGCCTTCTCGGTGGTGGCCCCTCGGCTTTGGAACTCCCTCCCGATGGAGATTAGATCTGCTCCTTCCCTCCTGACCTTTAGGAAACTAATAAAAACCTGGCTTTGGAATATGGCATTTGAGGATTGAATCAATAACCCTTGTCCACATGGAAAGAGGGCGACGAATTATGACTGTACTGACGACTTGGCTTGTGTAATGTGATGATGATGTTTTTATTGTACTTATATTTTAATGTATAATGATGATGCAATGTGCTGTTTTGTATATTACTGTATATGAACACATGTTGTGAACCGGCCTGAGTCCCTCCTTGGAGGTGAGAAGACCGGTATATAAAACTTCTAAATAAATAGATAACTAAAACTATCAAAAAGGCAATGGTGTAGAAGGATGACTGGGATCTCTGTACTGAGATGAATTGCTAAATCAAGATTTTTGTGGCTAATTTCACATTAACTAGTGTGGGAATACCCCTAAGAAGAGCCGTCTAAATCTGCCAGTTTAAGGACAAGAAGGGCAACATTTTACTCCTATGAAAACAATATAATTGTGTAGAGATTTTTGTAAAACATTACAACCAAAACAGTTTCCTAAGGAATTAAATGTAATAGGGCTGGAAATAAATATTTTCCCCTTTTGATGGATATATAACTGCAGATTAAGAAGCAGGTTTTTTTTTTTTTTGTTGTGCCAGGAGCGACGTGAGAAACTGCAAATCACTTCTGGTGTGAGAAAATTGGCCGTCTGCAAGGATGCTGCCCAGGGGATGCCCGAATGTTTTTGATGTTTTACCATCTTTGTGGGAGGCTTCTCTCATGTCCCCACATGGGGAGCTGGAGCTGATAGAGGGAGCTCATCCGCGCTCTCCTCTGATTCGATCCTGCAACCTGTCGGTCTTCAGTCCTACCGGCACAAGGGTTTAACCCACTGCGCCACCGTGTGTGTGTGTGTGTGTGTGTGTGTGTGTAGGCTTTGGATAGCTTAAGGAAGGGTTAATATCCCTGTGGAGTTTGTTTTGCTGTCTATACCCCTGTTCAGAAGATTTCATCTGGATTTTGAAAAACTTGGCTTGTTGTGGAAACAAGGACTGGAGATAAAGCTTCAGTGGAGAACCTTTCCTCCATGATAACTCTTTCAGGAGAGAATCTCCCTTCCTCAGGGTGGATTTCTCTCACTTCCTGTTGTCTAACCCCCATACTTAACTATAAGTCATTTGCAAGTCAGATGTTTGTAACTCAGGACTGCCTGTATATATGTATTGTCAAAGGCTTTCATGGCCGGAATCACTGGGTTGTTGTAGGTTTTTTCGGGCTGTATGACCATGGTCTAGAGGCATTCTCTCCTGACGTTTCGCCTGCATCTATGGCAAGCATCCTCAGAGGTAGTGAGGTCTGTTGGAAGTATGCCTGTACATAATTTGTCTCTCTCTAATAAAAGTGCATTTCAAGTATTCAAAAACACTCTGTGTATCTCCTACCTTACAACTATGTTATAAGATTGCCCAATACAATTATTCACAAACTTCGTAAGCAAGAGCTGATCTGGCAGGCTGCTGAAGATCAATTAGGATGCACCTACAATGTAGAATTAATTCAGTTTGACATCACTTTGAATGTCACAGTTCAATGGTATAGAATCGTGGGAGTTGTAGTTTGGTGAAGCACTAGCAATCTTATCAGAGGCTAAAGACCTTGTAAAACTACAACTCCTAGGAACCCATAACATTGAGCCATGCCAATTAAAGCGGTGACAAACAGCATTAATTCTATAGTGTGGATGTACCCTTAGTGGGTTTGTGGCAGAGATGAGATTCAGGCAAGGGCCATTCTAGACCATCACTCACAAATTTAGGCTCAATACTGTTTTATTATTTTGATTTCTCCATAATGTTGAAAATTAATGATTAAGGGAGGAATGATTCCATAAGCAAATGCCTGATGCCTACATCTCCACAAAGTTCATGGCAACCACAGGCACCTAAAAACCCTGCCAAAAATTGTGGAAGCAACACAAATGCCTGCTATCTGGTGTTAAAATATTGCCCTGTTCAATCTGAAGATGTTTTATGTATTTATGTTCTGAAAAAAAAAACCCAATTAAACTGCAATTTGTAAATTAGAACTATTACTACAACGTAACAAGATACGCAACATTCTGTATTTTATGTTTAGTATATAACTCCACAATGCTGAAAGAAAACATGCAGGTTAGCTTCCATTCAGCTCTTGATTGTTTAGCCAAAGTTACTCCCACAAGCTCAAACCTGTACCTTCATTTCCTTTAATTCCTGCTTGTATTTTCCTTCTACATCCTGAATCTGGTCCTTTAACTCATTGATATCCTAAAGGAAATGGCAAAATATTGTGACACTGGGTTATTTTTGAATACAGGCATCCCCCACATGTTCGATCTGTAAGGAACTAGGAAACTGGTAAAAGGGGGAAATGGTTGAAAAGTGGTTTAAAACTTGCAAATGTGGAACTAACCACAAGATGGCACCAAGTTGTCTGAGAGAGAAAAATCTGCACTACATTGACTGAAAATGAGAAAAAAACCGAGTAAGTTGTAAGGAACAGACCAGGGGTTAGAACCGAAGTATGAACATGGCTATAATTGGAACAGCAAAAAGTGGGATGTCAAAAAGCAGGGGATGTTTTTATAATGTAGAGGTAGTACCTTAATTATTTACAGAAGTCCATAGAATCATACAGTCGGACCATCCAGTCCAACCTCCTGCCATGCAGAATACAATCAAAACACTCCTGACAGATGTCCATCCAGCTTCTGCTTAAAAGCTCCTTACTTAATTCCATGCTAATTCTTTTAGGCTAGAAAAACCAATCCAATCCAATAAGCCTTTATTGGCATATACATAGCAAAAAGGTTTAAAATACACTTTTTTTTTGTCGTGTCAGGAGAGACTTGAGAAACCGCAAGTCGCTTGTGGTGTGAGAGAATTGGTCGTCTGCAAGGACGTTGCCCAGTGGACGCCTGGATGATTTGATGTTTTTATCATCCTTGTGGGAGGCTTCTCTCATGTCACCGAATGAGGAGCTGGAGCTGGTAGAGGGAGCTCATCCGCCTCTCCCCGGATTTGAACCTGTGACCTGTCAGTCTTCAGTCCTGCTGGCACAGGGGTTTAACCCACTGCGCCACCGGGGCCTCCTCTTAAAATACACTACAAACCATAGAAAAGGGAACTTCACATTTGCTACACATTCAGTTTACAGACTTCGTTCAGGAATCTTGCCACTGAAAGGCAGCAGTTAAAATCTTGACAATTTAAAAACATAATTACATTGTTTGGGTCACTATGCTTTTTCAAGGAATCTATAACATGTGATAGTAAGCTAGATCTTGGTTCCTGGTAAAGTGGGCACTGCAAAAGAATATGCGGGATGGAATCCAGCTGTCCTGTGCTATAGGGACAAAGCCTCTTATCACTCGGTAGACCGCTGAGTCTTCCTCTATGGAGCAGAGATGGCATAATATTAAATCTAGCCAGCATGTAGGCTCTCCTGTAAGAGGGTTTAGTGAGCGCTGCGATGTAAAAGGCTAGGTTTCCCTGTATGAATGGAATTGCCATGTTCATAGGTGAACAGGATTTATTGGCCAAGCACAACAGTTGGTTATAATCCCTTTCTAGCAGCCTCTTTTTGATAAGGGTAAAGATTTCGGTGAAAGTTAGCAGGTTCAAGAAGTCGCTATCATAGCCCAATTCCCCGATCTTTGCTAAAACTGTTGAGCACCATTTTGAGTGATAGAGTTCAACTCAAGGTGACTTGGATCAGAGAGTTACTGGGGCATTGGTAGTGGATAGATAACCAAAATTTTATGATGTTTAACCAGATAGTGGCCTCTATAGAGTACTGGCCAGATTCTAGACATAGAACTGCATACGGGACACAGTTTGGGACACCAAATAATTTGTGGAGGAATTTTGAGTGGAAGGATCTGATGGCACTGTTATTAGGGGTTAATCAGATGGGCGTTCCATAGAGTAGTTGTGACATCGCCTTTGCTTGAAAAACTTGCAGAGTTGGAGGGATATATTTGTGGCTACTGGAAAAACTTCCTGTTAGTACTGTTGCTTGATTGGGCCTGGGCCAGTGTATATTTTAAGTGAGTGGACCATGACAGGTTGTACTGAACCAAAGGTATTTGAAGTGTTTAACTGGTGCAAAATGGTGCTCAACAGCACCGGGATTGTGGTGCAGCTAGCGGAGTGTCAGCTGCATTAAGATCACTCTGACCAAAAGGTCATGAGTTTGAAGCCAGCCCAGGTTGGAGTGGGTTTCCAATCAATTTTGTAGCCTGTTGTTGACCTTTACAACCCGAAAGACAGTTGCATCTGTCAAGTAGGAAAATTAGGTACCACCTTAAAGTGTGGGGAGGCTAAATTAACTAATTTATGAGGCCATAAAAAAAAAGACTCCAGCAAGCACTCCAGCAAAAAGCATGCGGGGAATGCGGAAGTTCTTCATCAGTGTCGCAGATGGACGATGAAAGTGACAGCTCCCCTGGCGGCCAGAAAAAGTTAAATAGCCTCTGTCTATGTCTGTATATGTTGTATGTCAAAAGTGGCATTGAATGTTTGCCATATATGTGTACATTGTAATCTGCCCTGAGTCCCCTGCGGGGTGAGAAGGGCAGAATATAAATGCTGTAAATATATAAAATAAATAAATAACTTTCTCTATATAATGTCCCTTTATCTAGAAAAACATGATAGGTCCCCTTTTCTATGATCATTGTGATCATAGAGGCTCAAACTACTTTTTGTTTGGGTTCCTGATTATTATTTTTTTGGCACAGGTATTTTGTATGCAAGCGCACCTTACAAACATCCACTCCCAATATGCATGTTACCTTAATTTCTCTGATAGATGCTTCAGTATCAACCGAAATTGAGGTATCTCCGCTCCCTCGCCGAGAAGAGGTTCCACCTAGAGAGGCCAGTGTAGCTGCTGACAAACTTGACGCAGTACGAACTCCCTGGAAATATATGGAGGCAGATAATGGTTTATAGTGAGTATGTGTTTGTACTGGCATACCGGAATCAATAATGGAGGACAACTGTACAAAGGAGGTATTTTGAACATTTCTTATGGAGAGCCTGCGCCTGAAGCCATGGAATATCTATCATATGCAAGTTCCAGAGGAACTTCTTTTCCAGAGTTGAGCATATTTCTGAAATAAGAGTATTTATATACTTCTGTGAGGGTTGGCCTTCCTTCCTTTATTCCTAATGCAGGGATTGTGTCCAATTCTGGGCACCACAATTCAAGAGAGATATTGACAAGCTGGAATGTGTCCAGAGGAGGGCGACTAAAATGATCAAGGGTCTGGAGAACAAGCCCTATGAGGAGCAGCTTAAGGAGCTGGGCATGTTTAGCCTGAAGAAGAGAAGGCTGAGAGGAGACATGATAGCCATGTATAAATATGTGAGAGGAAACCACAGGGAGGAGGGAGCAAGCTTGTTTTCTGCTTCCCTGGAGACTAGGATGCGAAACAATGGCTTCAAACTACAAGAAAGGAGATTCCATCTGAACATGCGGAAGAACTTCCTGACTGTGAGAGCCGTTCAGCAGTGGAACTCTCTGCCCCGGAGTGTGGTGGAGGCTCCTTCTTTGGATGGCCACCTGTCAGGGGTGATTTGAATGCAATATTCCTGCTTCTTGGCAGGGGGTTGGACTGGATGGCCCATTCGGTCTCTTCCAACTCTTTGATTCTATGATTCTATGATTTATTTTGCTTTTTCCTGTTTTCTCCTTCTGACTACTTTAGGCAGATTCTAGAAAAGGGCAAGGAAACTGCTGACTGTTGGCTGTAATCAACCACTGGACCCCCGTTTGTGGACCATTATGCTTCCCATCAGTCCTTCCAAATCCCCCAATTTTTAATTGCAGTTTTTAGGGGGAAAGGTCCAGTAATCATAGCCAATCCTGCCACCCCCACCCGTGATATGCAAACATGCAAGTAAACATTACCTAAAGCCCTCAGACCTCCCCATTCCATATGAAGTAATGCATTCTTCCTACATTACTTCTTCAAAAAGACAAGAAAAAGCAATGTAATGTCACTTCTGGACACCATTGCGAAAGAGAGGAAAAGAACAGGCATCCCTCTCTATGGTTCTTTGGATAGTCATCTGCAATTCCTCCACATTGTCCCCTGCCGTTCCTTGGCTTTTGCTTCAGCGACCTAGGAATGGAGGGCTTAGGCAGAAAAAGCACTACTGGGGAACGCTTCTGTGCCAAAGGACATTCTGTGCAGGCACAGACAAACTCAATTGTGTGAGTCACAGAGACGATGAAGAAAACACAGTATATTGACACCCTCAGATAGGAAGTGGCCTGCAAGACGTTGGGGATGGAAACATTGCCAAACAGTCCTGCGCAGTTGCCTAATCCCGTTCAGGAACTTCAGTAGACAGCTCCATGGCAAGCTATCTTTTCTCTGGCTTTAGCATGAGACCGAGAAATGCGCAATACTGTTAAAGACTCTGGACTTGCATCTGTTGTATGTGGAAGCTTTATGACACTAAGGAAAGACCATAAGCTTTCTTTTGCTCTTACTGTTTATAAGCTGCATTCTCTTTCATCATTATAATTAATCCATCTCTTCCTGTTTATAATTAAATCTGATTGGATCAGCCTACCTTCTTAATACCATGTTCCTAATGAGTCCAAAGTTTTCTGGCTTCTATTAGCGACAAAACACAAGTTTCATGACCCAGTATTTCACATAATTGGAAAACGGAAACAGTAGAAAATGAAAGGAAAGGTGGGGAATCTTCTACAATTATATTTCTTCCTAATAAATGTGATGCTTAATGCCAAGGTGCTATTACTATACTCGAGTAAAAGCCTAGTTTTTCAGCCCTTTTTTTAGGCTGAAAAAGTCCCGCTCGGCTTATATTCGAGTCAAGGTTATTTATTATTTTACCCTGTTAGAAATACATAATAAATGTATTGTTGTTGTTATTGTTACATTGATCATTCTACTTTATTATTGTTTTTATTATATTTATTATTTTACTCTATTTTTACTGTAATTATTACATTTCCATTATTTTACTCTATTATTATTAGTAGTAGTATTATTATTACATTTATTATTTTACTCTATTTTATATTGGAAGGATATGCAAGCACATTTACATTGAAGAAGGTTAGAATAATGGTTTAATCAGAGTTCCACAGTCTTATCTTAAATTACAGTTTTATGTAAATATTCAAAACATTTAACCTACGGATGCCTCAATTAATGTAGAATCATACAATCATAGAATCAAAGAGCTGGAAGAGACCTCAATTTTCATGGTTTCCTCCTTTCTGATGAAGTTGTCCACATGCTTGTGTATTTCAGTGGCTTCCCTGTGTAGCCTGACATGGTGGTTGTGAGAGTGGTCCAGCATTTCTGTGTTCTCAAATAAAATGCTGTGTCCAGGTTGGTTCATCAGGTGCTCTGCTATGGCAGACTTCTCTGGTTGAAGTAGCCTGCAGTGCCTTTCATGTTCCTTGATTCATGTTTGGGCAATGCTGCGTTTGGTGGTCCCTATGTAGACTTGTCCACAGCTGCATGGTACACGGTAGACTTCTGCAGAGGTGAAAGGATCCCTCTTTGCTGAAATTCACAAGCATGTGGACATAGAATCATAGAATCATAGAATCAAAGAGTTGGAAGAGACCTCATGGGCCATCCAGTCCAACCCCCTGCCAAGAAGCAGGAATATTGCATTCAAATCACCCCCGACAGATGGCCATCTAGCCTCTGTTTAAAAGCTTCCAAAGAAGGAGCCTCCACCACACTCCGGGGCAGAGAGTTCCACTGCTGAACGGCTCTCACAGTCAGGAAGTTCTTCCTAATGTTCAGATGGAATCTCCTCTGAATCTCCTCTGATTAATTGTATGGTATCTATTTTTATTTTGAAATTTACCAGTAGCTGCTGCATTTCCCACCCTTGGCTTATACTTGAGTCAATACGTTTCCCAGTTTTTTGTGGTAAAATTTGGCACCTCGGCATATTTGGGTCGGCTTATACTCGAGTATATACAGTATTTTAAAATTATATTTTAAAATTTGTGAAGAAATAGGCATATATCACATTTTAAAAAATTATACTAGTTACAGGAAAATGTCTTAATTAGTAAGTTAGGCTTCACCATACCAATAATGGATTGGAACAGTGAACACCTGAACTTTGTTGTTGCATATTATGAGAACGGAACTGTTCTGTGATAATGATACAAAAAGCATTCCATACCCACTTCGCACTCTGTCAAAATGCATCTGTACCAGATCAGAAAATAATTTTAGCTATGGATTTCTAATCTTCCGGAAACTGGACTACCAGAAAATGTGTAAGCAGTAAGGGCATCCACTCAATAAAACTCAAAAGCATGCCATGGTATGCATATCAAGTTGAAGTTTGAGGAGGATTCTGCATGCCAATTCAAAGCTGCATCCTTATGAAATGATTTGTCTGATATGGTTTTTAAAACTGATTAAAATTCGGGATGTCTATGCAAGCTGGACCTAGAGAGCATAGGTAGGTCTTCAGCCACAAGGTTTTTAGCTTCCCACAAAAGGAATACTCATTTAGAGCACTACCTAACTATTCCACTTCCACTACCCTTAAAAAGAATATATACTAGGGCTAGGTTTGAACAACTCGGTATTATGGTGCAAACTGGGCGCTACTGTAACATCCCAAGAAGTGAGAGATTCTGCGTATGGGGAGAACAAATAGTGGAAGACATTGAACATTTCTTAATGGACTGTCCAGCATATACTGAACTGCGAGAGAGATATTTACATCCAATATTATCCAACTGCAGGTCCCCCAACAGAAATGATATTCTGACATCCCTCTTGCAAGGACAGGAAAGATCCAGCATAATCAGAGTAAACCTTTTTATTCTGAAAACTATCAAGAAAAGAGCAGATTTCCTGAAAGAACCACCAGGAAAATAAGATTCTGACTATAAACAGAAGGTCAGCTGCTGTCCTCACCTTTTTGCCTTGTTTTTTTACTCATGTTCTATTTTGAAATGGTCATATGACTGATCAAATAAATTATTATTATTATTATTATTATTATTATTATTATTATTATTAACTGATTAAAATGTTTTAATGTACTTTTCAGAAATATATAATTTTTTTCTAGGTAGTTTCGTTCCTTTTTTAAATAACCCTTCAAAATGTGGGCGATCTTTATGCTCCACCCTGTATTACCTGAGCTGCTTCTTGCTGCAAAAGATGTGGGAATACACTGTCTAAATCCTTGGATTCTGGAATCTAGCAAAAGTGACACAAATACATCACTATAGCTACATCAGTAACAGAAAATGGAAGTGGGACAAAACCATAGTGAATTTGTTTGAAACATCAAAATTTATGGAATCTCATTTCTATTATTCAGTTTTCAGAACCGTTTCAGACTCATATTCAACACTGTCTACTTAGTTATGAATGCATAACTAAGTAACACCTCCTAGACATCAGCCAAATGGAGAGATGAAGGTCTGTTCAGCTGAAGATCGAGGTGCAGGGAGATCACATTTCTACTCCCTCCTATGAGTGAGAGAGGCTGTGACAAAGAACTGCAACAGAGGTCCTGCTTTTGACTGCATGATGTAACATTTTCTGTTCCTGGTTTGAGTGTTATTTCCTGTTTAGTTATGTGGTACTTAATTTGAAAGTAGATATTATACTCCAGAAACTTCATTTTTGTGGCTGCCACAAGTTATGTTAGATTGACCAAGACTCTACCTGAATGTGTAAGGCAGGGGTCCTCAAACTAAGGCCCGGGGCCCAGATGCGGCCCTCCAAGGTAGTTTACCCAGCCCTCGCTCAGGGTCCACCTAAGTCTGAAATTACTTGAAAACACACAACAACAACAACAACAACAACAACAACAACAACAATCCTATCTCAAAAGCAGGCCCACACTTCCCATTGAAATACTAATAAGTTTATATTTGTTAAAATTGTTCTTCATTTTAATTATTGTATTGTTTTAAAGTGTATTTTGCACTACAAATAAGATATGTGCAGTGTGCATAGAAATTCATTCATGTTTTTTTGCAAATTATAATCCGGCCTTCCAACAGTTTGAGGAACTGTGACCCAGGCCCTCTGTTTAAAAAGTTTGTGGACCCCTGGTGTAAGTTAAATGCATTGAAAAACTATAGCAAAATGTGCTGCAGGATGTCCCTCAAAAACCAAGTTTTTGCAGTTAAATAAGCTTGTTCCATGTTTTTATGATAGAACAAATTAGGAAATGACATTTATAAACCAGGAACAAAAAATCATGTTACATTGCGTGTTCACAGCATCATTCACTGGTGGAAAGGAATGGGAACTATCCTCCTCTTGTGTCCTAATAGCCAGCTGGACAGACTTCCATCTTTCAGAGAGCTACTCCTTAGTAAGTAGGTTTGGAAGGACATCTATGATCGTGTCAATAGTTCCAAGTTCATTTGATGCTTAGACCATAGGCCTTTGTGAAATACCACAAGCATGACACATATTGTTAGTGAAGATGGAGACATTGTGAATCCATAGCTCCAGTTTATGAACCGGTTACTCCAGCCTCAGCTGGTAACTATTGTTAAAAATAATTCAAAATAATGTGTTTCCTTTCACAACATTCCACAGATTCTCTCTCACCTTCTCGAAGTCCTTTTCTGGCCTTTCTTCAACCTGAGGAAGAGAGATGAAAGGAGTAAGAACTGATAAACAAGGCAGAAAAACTACATTTTCTCTCTAACAAATTCCCCTCAAACTTCCTCAGCATGATGCCACTGACCGAGAAATATCAAAACTCATATACTGTATTTACTGCTCTGTCTGCACAGTTGTTATGCACTTGAATATTAACAAAAACGCTTTTTGGTCACACCTGGACATTCAGTGTTTTACTTCATTAATGAAAAAAATCTCCTAATTATAGCTCGATGCTTTAGCTTCCCTGAAGGCTTTAATTCAAACAAAAAGTTTAATCCAGTAACTTTCCTTCTGTGTCATTCATTCAAAAGATATTCAGATTCTTAACTGATTAAGTACTAAAAGTTTAACAAACAGACAGAAAAGACTACGTGTATACCATTGTATTTTTATCCAGCTTTAACAAATGGCACTGTATTTACAGGATTACGTGCATGTCTAATACTGAAATTTCACTGCAAATCTCTAACTACTTTTGAGAGGCTCAGTGTAACAGAGTATTTTTCTCAGTGATGAACAATGTGGCTGATTGTTTTTGAATAAAAAGGAGTTTCCAAAATAAAACTTCTTCTAGAAAACACAGCCACTTCAGTCACACAGAACCAAACGTGGTGGAAAGTGGTGGGTATAATCCTGTATAAATACCATGCTCAATGTTTCATGTATTTCTGCTGGATCTAAGGCTGGATCTACACTGCCCTATATCCCAGGAACTGATCCCAGATTATCTGACTGTGTAAGGTAAAGGCAAATGTTTCCCTTTCACATTAAGTCTAGTCGGGTCTGACTCTGGAGGTGGTGTTCATCTCCATTTCTAAGCTGAAGACCTGGCGTTGTCTGTGGACGCCCCCTGGGTCATATGGTCGGCATGATTACATGGAAAGCCATTACCTTCCCACCGAAACAGTACCTATTGATCTACTAACATTTGCATGTTTTTGAACTCCTACACACTCATTCAATCTTATTTTGATTTCTTTCATTTTTAAAAAATAACATCAGGTGCAATGAAGCAGTTCAACTTTCCTGTATTTCATAGAATCATAGAGTTGGAAGAGACCTCATGGGCCATCCAGTCCAACCCCCTGCCAAGAAGTAGGAATATTGCATTCAAAGCACCCCTGACAGATGGGCCATCCAGCCTCTGTTTAAAAGCTTCCAAAGAAGGAGCCTCCACCACACTCCGGAGCAGAGAGTTCCACTGCTGAATGGCTCTCACAGTCAGGAAGTTCTTCCTCATGTTCAGATGGAATCTCCTCTCTTGTAGTTTGAAGCCATCGTTCCGCGTCCTAGTCTCCAGGGAAGCAGAGAACAAGCTTGCTCCCTCCTCCCTGGGACTTCATCTCTCATATTTATACATGGCTATCATATCTTCTCTCAGCCTTCTCTTCTTCAGGCTAAACATGCCCAGCTCCTTAAGCCGCTCCCCATAGGGCTTGTTCTCCAGACCTTTGATCATTTTAGTCGTCCTCCTCTGGATACATTCCACCTTGTCAATATCTCTCTTCAATTGTGGTGCCCAGAATTGGACATAATATTCCAGGTGTGGTCTAACCAAGGCGGAATAGAGGGGTAGCATTACTTCCCTAGATCTAGACACTATGCTCCTATTGATGCAGGCCAAAATCCCATTGGCGATTTCAGGTTCTTTCAAGTAGGATTTAGTATGAGCTGTAAAATAATCTCAAATAGTATTTGTCTATTATAAAACACAAGATAAAATCCTGATCTATTAATACTCTGAAAAGTAAAATGTCAGAGGAATACAAAAACCGAGAAGGCTTATTTTTAACTTCCCAAACCTAACAAACCCAGTAAGATGAAGGAAGACATTTCAACCTCAAAATCAGGAAACTAAGGGCAGGTTAAAATATCACTTTGAGACATGGGTGGGGTATTTATATAAATATATAAACATATACAAATATAGCAGGGATATACCATGTTGGTGAAAATCTGTGATCGACTGTGTTTATTGTAATGTTATTCTGTTATTGTATTTATATGGGGGTTTTTTTCGTTTTATGTAATTTTGATGATGTAGCTTGTTGTTTATGTTTTGTTTTTATTTTGATGTAATATATTGTCCAGGCTTGGCCCCATGTAAGCCGCTCCGAGTCCCCATTGGGGAGATGGTGGCGGCGTATAAATAAAGATTATTATTATTATTATTATTATTGATTACCAATCAAACTTACACCATACTTTGTGTAGAGCAGGGGTTGGCAACATGTTATTAATATGCTGCCCTTACGACTCACCATCATAAAAAAAGACCACAAATGCCCTCTGGAGCCAAGAGGGGTATCTTGTAGACCTTGGCATTTTAGGCTCAGAAGAGGCTTCTTCTAATGTAGCCCCTAACCTCTAGTAGTTGCACACCACTCCTGCTATACAAATGTGGACTTCTCCACTAATGTGAGACGCTTAACAAACTATGACATGAGATTGTGTCAAACTACAGCATATGGAAGAACGTTAACTCCTGAAAAATGTAAGAGCTGCTGCTGGCTATTGTGTATCAGATTAGGAACTCCAGACTGATATACTCAGAAAACAGAATATATTTTCCGGGCCTAAGTTCCCAAGAAAAAGGAAATATTATTTGAAAGACAAAGTTCAATCAACGATAAAGCATAAGGCACTGAAAATTAGACTTTCCCTATATCTTGGTATTTTCTTTCTCAAGCTGAAGTGAATCTTAAAAAGTATCAGAAATCATCAAGAAAAAAAGAGCAAGAATGCATTATTGTGAAAGCTCTCCACACCGTAACGTATTTTGGGTCCCACTTGAACACCAACGTGCAAATATATTCTGTTAGCATATATTGTAACAGAAAACTGGTATACTAAATTATTCTGGCTAAATTGCCAAGATGAGGGTAATGAGAAAGAAAAGGAAAGTTATCAATAGAATTAGGAGGGGGAAGGGTTTCCATTGGGAGGAAGAGGGTTTCCAAGATTTGAAAAAGTACAAAAAATCTGTGAATTCAATATATACTGTCCAAGGGTCAAGGACTAAAAGATTACACCATGTAACACAATTTTTGTTCCTAGGTTATAAATGTCATTTCCCAATTGGTTCTATCATAAAAAAGGGAAAAGATTATTAAACTGCAAAAACTGTTTTTGTGGGACATCCTGCAGCACATTTTGCTATAGTTTTTCAATGAATATCTCACTGTGTCTCAACCAATTCAACATTGTTTGTGGCAGCCACAAAAACAAGGTTTCTGGACTATAACAACTACTTTAAAAGCAATTAAACAGGAATAACACTCAAACCATGAACAGAAAAAAATCGAATTTTGTTACATAGTGTTATTAATGTGATATGGAAAATCAGGGAAGGGCAGATTGGAACTGAGTACTTTTCAAGAAACCTGGACTGCCTGGCGCCCTAAGAGAATTAATTGATGTTGAAGTTTTCTATTTTTCACTACACACTGAGTTAAATTCCACAGGTCACAATGTCACAATTCTCCCTCGATGCCTTCATTTATGTTACTTTTATCCTTGAAGAACATTTCCCATAGGTATAGAAAGCCAAAATGTTTCCTAAACTTTTAAAAGAAGTAGCCATTATGTGAGCATAAAAGGAAAGGAAGGAGAAAAAAAAGGTAATGTGGCAGAACCATTAGGACTTAACTGGTATTTATTTTAGCATGAGCTTTTGTGGCTACAAACTCACTTCTTCAGATGCAGTATACGGCAATACTAAAACAAATTTATATAATTTGGGGAGTGCGAGAGAATTAACAGAATCCAAAAAGATGCAAAGATACTTCATGCTACACTAGATGCAAAAGTTTTCAGCTACAGCACACATAACAAGCGCGTTTGGTGGGGACGCGAGACAGGGCCTTTTCCGTGGTGGCCCCCCGACTCTGGAACACCCTCCCCAAAGATCTTAGACAGGCCCCTACATTGGCAGTCTTCAGAAAGAACTTGAAGACCTGGCTGTTCCAATGTGCCTTCCCAGACTAGGAAATCTCCAACACCAAGTCCCATAAGCACTTTACTTGAATTAAGATTGCTGCACACCGCACTCTGCACTTGCTCTATAATCCCTTATATACCACCTGTCACATCAGCACTTTTAATCTTGTACCCATTACTCTGGCCCAGCCCAGTTTTTATTGTGTCTTAGTGTTTTGTTTATTGCTTGTTTTATTGTTTTAATTATTTTTAATTTGCTTTGGTTTTTTGTACTGTTATATTGTGTGTTGGCCTGTGTAAGCCGCATCGAGTCCTTCGGGAGATGCTAGTGGGGTACAAATAAAGTTTAATAATAATAATAATAATAATAATAATAATAATAATAATATTCTCAGAAAGACTACAACTTGTCCAACGTTTGGCAGCCAGATTAATAATGGGAGCAAATTACAGGGAGCAGTTACCCCCCTGTTTAAGGAGCTCAATTGGCTGCTGTTTATTTTCCGGTCCTAATTCAAGTTACAGGTCATCACCTATAAAGCTCTAAACGTTTTGGGACCCGCCTACCTTCATGACCGTATCTCCCTCCATGAACCTGCCCGATCCTTCCGATCCTCAAGGGAGGCTCTTCTTTCACCCCTACCATTATCTCAGGCCCACCTTGTGGGAACAAGGGAGAGAGCCTTTTCCTCAGTGGCCCTCCAACTATGGAATACATTGCCTGGTGAGATTAGGTGAGCCCCTATTTTAGAAAGTTTTAAGAAGAATCTCAAAACCTGGCTCTTCTGCTGCGCTTTTGGAGATTAATCATATAATCTCATATTGCTGTTATCCCTCAACATCTGTCTTTAGTGCATACCCCTTCCCCTTCTGTACGAAGGCCCTTTCCGACCCCATTCCGGAAGAGTTCCTCCCCACAAATAATCTGCTCCATCATTGTCTCACCCCGTGTTTTTAGCCGTGTTTTTAGCCTTAGTATTTTATTCTGTACATGCGGCCTATTCACTGTTTTATATTATGTTATGAATGATTTTATTGTAATTTTATTTTGTTTGCTGTGTTCTTATGTTTTATGTAATTTCTCAAATTGTTGTTTGTGTTTTGATTTCATTTATTGTACTGCATTGTTGGGCTTGGCCGCATGTAAGCCATCCCGAGTCCCCAATGGGGAGATGGTGGCGGGGTACAAATAAAGGTTGTTGTTGTTGTTGTTGTTTGTTTGTTGTTGTTGTTGTTGTTGTTAATTTGAACCCAGGAAAACTGACTCTTGGTAAGCAGATTTATTGCTTAAAGACATCTACCCTCACTGACCACTGTAAATATCTGAAAAACCTGTAACATGTGGCCCCATTTTTGAAAAGGGACATGATTTGCATCTTTCTCAATCCTGTTACATTCTACTCCACTCCCACAACTGTATATACTGTACAGGCAGTTCCATGTTATGAACAAGATCGTTTGTGTAGGTTTGTTCTTAAGTTGAAACAGGTATATTTTTAAAGTGTAATCCAGCCGTGTGTGTGTGTGTGTACCAAATTATTATTATTATTATTATTATTATTATTATTATTATTATTATCATCTTTATTTATATCCCGCAAAATCTCCCGTAGGACTCAATGCGGCTTACAAAGGCCAAGGCCGCCAACAATCAACAACATACAATACACAATAAACTCAAAAACAAATAATAAACATCAAGCAAAACAATAAAACAGTAAAACAATGACACCGTGACACAATTAAAACCAAGCCCGGGCCAAATGTAATGGACAAAAATTAAAATGCTGAACTTGACAGGTAATATGTAGAGGTGTATGGAGGTAGGTGCAATGTGCAGATAATCCTGAGTCTCTAGCAAAGTGCAATTGGGACTTGAAACCAGGAGTTTCCTATTCTGGAAAGGCACACTGGAACAGCCAGGTCTTCAGGCTCTTCCTAAAGACAGCCAACGTTTGGGCTTGTCTGATATCCTTGGGGAGAGAGTTCCAGAGTCGTGGGGCCACCACAGAGAAGGCCCTGTCCCTCGTCCCCACCAAACGCGCCTGCGATGCAGGTGGGATCGAGAGCAGGGCTTCTCCAGATGATCGAAGGGAGCGTGCAGGTTCGTAAACGGAGATACGGTCACGCAGGTAGGCGGGTCCCAAACCGTTTAGGGCTTTGTAGGTGAGCACCTGCACCTTGAATTGGGATTGGAAGATGAACGGCAGCCAATGGAGCTCCTTGAACAGGAAGCTTGACCTCTCTCTGTAAGGAGCACCAGTTAACATCCTGGCTGCCACCCGCTGGACTAGCTGAAATTTCTGAGCCGTTTTCGAGGAATTGGGAAGACTTAACACCACTATGGTGTTTGTTTTGCTGTCTTTGTCCCTGCTCAAAATATTTTACCTCACTTTCTTGTCCCTGTGATCATTGGATTTTGAAAAAATGTGGCTTGTTGTGGAAACAAGGATTGGTGATAAAGTTTCAGTGGAGACACCTTTTCCCCATGGTAATTCTTCCATGAGTGAATTTCCCTTCCTAGGAATAGATTTCTCTTGCTCCATGTTCTCTCACTCCCCTTTTGTAACTAGGAGTCATTTGTAAGTCAGATGTTTGTAACTCAGGGACTGCCTGTATACACTTTATAACTTAGAGCTTAAGTTCATTCTGTACAGGATCTGAAGAAGAGGGTTTATATTCACAAAAGCTCATGCTGAAATGAAAATCAGTTAAGTCTTTATAGTGTTGCTCTATTTCTCTTTTTCCTTTCTCTCCCTTCTTATTATCCCAGATTTTTAATTTCATTTGATATAAACCTTGATTCAGATTCCCATTCCTGCTGGGAAAAAATCAGGTGCAATCTGCTAATGGCACATTCTGGGGCAAAGCAAGGGCAGACAGCAAATGAGATCTCTATCTCTCTCCCTCTCTCTCTTCCTGTATTGTATTTAATATACTGTCCTATAACTATGAAGATTATAAGCTTTTCACATTTTTGGCCCTATGCCTAATGAATTCTTTGATGTTGCAAGGTAATATCATAAGGAATGCTGCAAGGACAGAAGCAAAGCAACAGAAATCAGCTAGACAGGTATTCACCTATCTGACTGTATCTCCCTTTTCCATAACAGGAACACTGTGAAACAAGACAAGAATAGGTTGTTGTAGGTTTTTTCGGGCTATATGGCTATGGTCTAGAGGCATTTTCTCCTGACGTTTCGCCTGCATCTATGGCAAGCATCCTCAGAGGTAGTGAGGTCTGTTGGAAGTAGGAAAATGGGTTTATATAACTGTGGAATGACCAGGGTGGGACAAAGGACTCTTGTCTGCTGGAGCTAGGTGTGAATGTTTCAACTGACCACCTTGATTAGCATTCAATGGCTTGGAAGTGCCTGGGGGAATCTTTTTTGTTGAGGGGTGATTTGATGTGCCTGATTGTTTAATCTCTATTGTTTTGCTGTTGTAATTTTTGAGTTTTTAATACTGGTAGCCAGATTTTGTTCATTTTCATGGTTTCCTCCTTTCTGCTGAAATTGTCCACATGCTTGTGTATTTCAATGGCTTCTCTGTGTAGTCTGACATGGTGGTTGTGAGAGTGGTCCAGCATTTCTGTGTTCTCAAATAATATGCTGTGTCCAGGTTGGTTCATCATGTGCTCTGCTATGGCTGACTTCTCTGGTTGAAGTAGTCTGCAGTGCCTTTCATGTTCTTTGATTCGTGTTTGGGCGCTGCGTTTGGTGGACCACTCTCACAACCACCATGTCAGACTACAAAATCTGGCTACCAGTATTTAAAAAACTCAAAAAATACAACAGCAAAACAATAGAGAGTAAACAATCAGGCACATCAAATCACCCCTCAACAAAGAAGATTCCCCCAGGCACTTCCAAGCCATTAAATGCTAATCAAGGTGCTCAGTTGAAACATTCACACCTAGCTCCAGAAGACAAAAGTCCTTTGTCCCACCCTGGTCATTCCACAGATATATATAAACCCATTTTCCTACTTCCAACAGACCTCACTATTCTGAGGATGCTTGCCAGAGATGCAGGGGAAACGTCAGGAGAAAATGCCTCTAGACCATGGCCATATAGCCTGAAAAAACCTACAACAACCCAGTGATTCCAGCCATGAAAGCCTTCGACAATACACTAAGACAAGAATATCAGTTACAAAAGAAATGTCCTAATGGTTCATTACAGTTTAAAGATGGACAGTCTAATTTATGAATCAATACAATTTAACCATCTACCACAAGCTTCTGCACAAGTAGAAATAGCTTTGTAAAGCAAGGAAAAAGCAATATAACAGTGCAAGAAAAAGCAGAAAGAAATGCTCACCACAGGACTTGCACGAGCAGAACTAGCTCTAGAAGAAGCCCGGGATCCTGAGCCAAGGTAGCAACTGTACTCCGAAGGCTGCCCACATATACCCAAAGAACGCATCAAATAGAGATGAGAAAAAAGAAGTATTAGAACAGTGGAGATCAGAGTAGACTGCAAGCAACTCTGATAGATTAAGAACAACATGAGCCTATAGAAAGTTTGCTGAAAAGTCAGAATAAAGAAACATAGAAAACAGATTCAATTAAAAACTTTTGCAGCACAATTATACATTAACAGCTCCCATCTATATCGATAGTCTCCATAGTCAAGTAACAGGCATGATTATATAAACACACGCTCACTTGCTGTATTGCTCCAGTTCTCACAACCAAGAAGCATTTTGTATACTGTACAACCTCTCCATGAAATCAGTATCCACGGTTTCATGTATTCCCATTCAACTATTGGATTCATTATTATTAATGGCCCTGTTCTTGGTCCCACCGGCTTCACAAACACGTCTGGTGGGAACAAGGGACAGGGTCTTCTCAGTGGTGGCCCCCCGTTTGTGGAATTCACTCCCCAGCGAGATCAGATTGGCATCCTCCTTCCTTTCTTTTAGGAAAAAACGAAAAACGTGGTTTTGGAGCCAGGCCTTTGGCTAAGTGGGCACAGGAGCACTTTAAATACAGAACCCGGACTACAGGACTGTTACGACAATTGGAAATGGCTATGCAACTTCATGACTTTGTGACTATGTGATTTGTGACTATGTGATTATGTGATTTTTTGACGTTACTGTTTTTAATCTGCTATGAATTATGATTTTATACTGTGTTACTGATATGGTGGCATCGAATTGCTGCCTGTATTAGCCGCCCTGAGTCCCCCCTCGGGGGTGAGAAGGGCGGGGTAGAAATGGTGTAAATAAATAAATAATAAATAAATATTAACACTTTTGTGTATCTATGGAAAGCCTGGGAACGTATCTCCTGTGGATATGGGGGTCTTCTTTCTAGAGCTATAGCGTGAACTGTAAAAATCAATAAACTAAACTTTAAGACTGTGTGACAAAATTTTCAGATCTTATCTAGATATCAAATAGGTTTCAAGAGGACAATAATGATATGAAATAGGAAATATTATAGCAAGCCACATGATTTAATTTCAGTTTCAAAATCTGAAGGTCTCTCCTCTCTTGACAAATCCCACAAGAAACACATAAACACTTGAGCTTATGTCAAACTCTCGAAAAACTCTCCTCATGCCTCATTTCTAATACTTTCTGGCCAATTCTCCTTTCAAAAGTATATCACTGCCTGGCTCATCGAAAGAGAAGAGACTTGTCCTGTCAGTTTTGTAGAACTGGTTGGTTGCCTTTTCTGCATGTTGGTTAGCATCAATACTTAAGCTACTCGAAAAGTTAATGATTTTTGAAAGTTATGTATGCTAACTGCAGTGTTATTTATTGGAGGATATTTTGAATTTCTCCCTCTCTGTGTCCTTGCTTTAAAAAACACCGTCATTAAATGTATATGGTCCACCAATTCTATCATCACAGAAACCTGCAAAGTAGTTTCAGCAGAACTATGCAAGTGGCCCAGGGCAACTGAGCAAGATTCGTGGTTCAGCAAGAATCATTATCAGTCACATTCTGTACTAAAGGTACATGTCCTCCTGCCCAATGTGAGGAGCTGAACCATACAGATCAACCTTCAGAGCTATGACCAGTTATAACATGGAGATCATGATGAAAGTATCAAGTTGAATATTCTCTTGCCTGAATTCAGTAAATAAATATATCATGTCCCCTTTATCACTGCATTTGGAACTAAGTTCTTCCCAGCTAACAGAGCTTTGATTTCATTTTATCATCCTGGTCAATTTTCTAAACTTTCTTATTGCTAAAACAAAAAAGTCAATTAAGAAAATAATTGGATATCCATTCCAGATGAGAGACTGTTAAAAATGCTGATCCCAGCCTGGTCATTGCAGAAGCATGAATATGCCGGGAAGTAGCAGCCGATAGTGAAAGGACCAAGGCAGAACATCTCCAGCTCATCCCCTGTTTGGGTATCAGCCAGCACGTCAACGACTTAAATCAAGAAACAGTTTTCTAAGATCTACAGAGACACTCGCTGGAACACCTCAGCAAGCGAGAGTCCAAAAGTGGCAGGCTCAAACCCAGAGCCTCAATCAATGGCTGATACCAAATGAGAGACTCCCCCTGGGCACACAGAAAACTGGGCGACTTGGAAGGCGCTGAACAGACTGCGCTCTGGCACCACGAGATGCAGAACCAACCTTCAGAAATGGGGCTACAAAGTGGAATCCACGACATGCGAGTGTGGAGAAGAGCAAACCACTGACCACCTGCTGCAATGCAACCTGAGCCCTGCCACATGCACAATGGAGGACCTCCTTGCGGCAACACCAGAAGCACTCCAAGTGGCCAGATACTGGTCAAAGGACATTTAATCAACTACCAAGCTTGCAAACTCTGTGTCTTTTGTATGTTTGTTTGTTCTGTCAAAAATGTAATACAACTGTTCGGTTGCCTGACACAATAAATAAATAAATAAATAAATAAATATTAGTCTAAAGAGGAATTCATTAGCAACAGCACCTGTTTTGCTTTATCAGCATAAAAAGCGAAAGAGAGATTGAAAGTGGGAGCTTTCAAATATTATCTCTAAATCTAAATTAATTCATATGAAAAACAGATTAGTGGTCAAGCACACTATTCTGTCTTATGGTAGTCATAATATATTATGACTCCTAAATGTCAATCATGGAAGTTAAAGACAACACAATACTTAAGGTTGCCTACACATTTGCACAGGTGTATACATTACTGCAGAAGGTGTAATAGCTTCCCACACCCAGCACATTATAAATATGGTAAATAATATTAATACATGGAAAATATGCTTAAGGATTATTTTCCCTTATTGAATCCTTTCAAAATTTTGCTTATCATTATACGAACATATAGTATGTATGATCCAATGATAGTTAAGTGTTGCTCATAAACACAATCCGATATCAATTGGAAGCCATGACTGGACATAAAGTGGACAATCTTTAAGACTATACATAAAAACAGAAGGTTAACTGGGTTGATAAGAAACAATCATCAATCTTTCTATTAAAAGTATTTCAGCAAGTCCTCTGTATCTGCTTGGCTTTGGTTCCAGGACTCCTGCATACATACCAAAATCCATAGATGCTGAAGTTATAGTATATACAATGGTGTAGTAAAATGGGATCTCTCGCATAAAGGGGTAAACAATTCTTGTAAGTGCTAGTGAAATCCCAAGGATAGAGGAAATGCCAAAAATCTACAGCAGGGTGTGGCAAATATTTTCAGAATCCATGGATGCGGAACCCATCCATGGCTATGGAAGTTGAATAACCAAAACTTCCATATGAATATGGAACATGAATATTAGCATTAGAGAGTTTTATTTTCACTAATTTATTTAAATAGTTAAAGATTTATATTCTGACCAATCTACTGAAAACAGATTTGGCCATCCAAGTACTAAAATTAAAATGGATGTTGCATTTCCAAAGATGTACAGAATGGAGGGGGAGGATAGACAGAGGATAAAGAGGACTATCTATCTTTAATCTACATTTCAGGTAATATTGTTTGTATATTTACAGATAAATATACAATAGTGTTATACTAATGTTAAATAACATTAGTAGAAAATACTTTACATTGGCTGAATGCAGACTGAACACCTTTTAGCTTAAACTAAGCAAATCAGTATTTCCTGTTTACATCAGACCAAAGTGTACTAGCAATGAATGGTTTGAGTCTGCAAATATGTAGTATTGCATACCAAAGTAATTTTGGCTTGGAGCAATTGTTCAAACCATAATTTGCCAGCTTAACTCTAGCCTGAATAAATCAAGTTACAATTATTAAAGGGGAAGAAGGATGCATGTTGTAACAACAAAAGCGTGATACTCCAGACCATCACATGGAAGTTCATTTTAATGCAGCTTTACTAGTTTGGATATAATGATCTTCACGTGTAAACCAAAGCGTAGCATTAAGACCATCAAACTTTGCCCTTCCTCTTGGCACTTCCTTTACACACGAGTGTCAGTATTTTAGTCCTGTTCTGTTTGAACTAGTGCTCTCCTTTTACCTCTCAAATGGGTAACTTTGGTCTGATGCCAACTATTATCTTAAACCAGGAACAAAACATGGTTTAAAGATTCTGGTTAATAAACCAACATTAGATAAGATCTTCACTGCTTCAGACATAATGGGAATGTTATTGGAATATGTACAAGAAAAAGGGCATAGGAAGAGCATGCAGGCCAACACTTTTTGAATTCCTAAATCATAATTTAATAAACCAGATACTCATTCTGACATTTGAGACATGAAGAATATCATTAGACGTCTAAAACCTGGCAGAGAGATAGAAACAGAAGAGCAAGAAACAGAAATGAAGCCAGCATAAAACTGTGAAAACCATCTTACAGGACGTGAACTAGAAGCACTATACCGACGAGTCCCAGTGTTAAAGTTCTCATCATACAGAGATGCCTACAATTAAAAAAGAGAGTCAGCACAAGATTGATAGAGTTGATCTAAAGACTTAAAATGCAGAAAGGTGCAAATTAAAGAAGTGAAGGGGATCAACGAAATAGCAACAGTTCCTTCTTAACTGTAGTGCAAACCGCATGCAATTCAAAGATGTGGGAAAGACCACATCCTCTTCATGCTTACTTTGCAAATGGTCAGAATACATGCAAAATTAACCTGAGATTAGACTTTCTGCTTCAGGAGTGTTGCTAGGCACCTCATAGAATCATAGAATCAAAGAGTTGGAAGAGACCTCATGGGCCATCCAGTCCAACCCCCTGCCAAGAAGCAGGAATATTGCATTCAAATCACCCCTGACAGATGGCCATCCAGCCTCTGTTTAAAAGCTTCCAAAGAAGGAGCCTCCACCACACTCCGGGGCACCCTAGTACAGTGGTTCTCAACCTGTGGGTCCTCAGGTGCTTTGGCCTACAACTCCAAGAAATCCTAGCCAGTTTCTATCACATGCTGTTCTTGGTAATGTTTGTTCAGAGGGAGGTTTGCCCATGCCTTCCTCTGAGACTGAGTGAGTTTGATTTACACAAGAAAACCCCTTGGATTTCTATACTTAAGCAGAACTTTGAACTTCGCTTTCCAGAGCCATGGTCCAACATTGAAATCATTACACCATGCTGGCTCTCAGCCACAAGTTAAGGGCACAAATTCTTTAAACATACTGTCTTGAGTAGATGTCATCTCAACTGCTCATGTTCAGAAGTAGATTTGTTTCTTTAAATAATTAAAATTATAACCTCCGATTTCAAAGAAAAACAAGACCAACTCTGTCATTTCCTTGAGATATCTGATCTCATGTTGGTGGTTTCACCATGTTCTTATTACTATAATATACCTCCATAGGGGTTTAACCTTTGGGAAAGTTCCCAGTAAATTCAGCCACTCAAAATGTTGCAGGACTGGATGCTGACTGGAGAAAGTTATTAGGGTGCAAATAACTCTTGCCTCACAACAGTTTTACTGGCCACTAGTTTCCATGTATTCTTAAAAGTACAATTATGATCTATGGAGTTCTCTGTGACTTGAGTCTAGCAGACTATCTGAAGAACTGTATTCTCCCATGTGCGTGTGCCTGTCCTGCTTTCTTCTGTCTACCACTTTTTGGTGAAGGTGTGAGAGTTGGTTTTCGTGATGGTCATTCTGACAGTATGGAACTTCCTAAAATGTGTGTGTGTGTGTGGGGGGGGGTTGTAGGTTGGTATCTTCCCCTTGTTCTTTTACCAGATTTTTTTAAAGGGAGGATTAACCTAAACTTTTAATTTAATTATTTTAGTTTTATTCTTTTAATTAATAATGTGAGGACTTGAGCCTCATCTTTGGAAAAATGCCAGGACATTAAGAGTCAACATAAAACATTGAATCATTACGCAAGTTCTCAGTCACAAGTTAAGGGCATTCTTTTGAGTAGCTGCCACCTCAACTCATTGGTGGTAGCTACCAACTGAGAACAAACATTCATGATAAGGGCCCTGAAGAATCTGTTATGGTCTAGGGTGGACCAATACCCTGCTTCTTGCTATTGATATTCCACTATTGTCTTATTTGACAGTTCAACTGAAAATATTAACTAGTTTGGATGATACAATATCAAAAAGCGCTCTTGCCACTTTCAAAGCAATCTCACATGAGAAAAAAAACAGTACTGAAGCAGAAAAATCACATCTTTTCATTTTCAAAACACTTATACAAGTGTTACAGAGGCTTACTTTAGACTTTAGACTTACTTTTTTATGTGACAGAAATTGAAATGCCTCTGCAAATGCGATATTTGTCAACTCAAGTTGTAACAAGTATTTATATTTTTCAGAATCTGCTCCTTAATTAACAGGGGACATATCCAGTAAATAAAGAAAAGCTACATTCCATAATCAATGAAAGGTAGAGATGTGATTTTTGCAAACTCAGCATTTCTTTTCCAAATGGTCCTTCGCTTGTCTGGAGCATATGTGAAGGAAGCTGCAGAGACGCAGCGGCCATTCCCTTCCTCATTTTTGTCCTTCGAAGCCTCTACTGGATCAAATTGCATGTCTGTAATGATTCTGTGGGACAACTTTTAGAGTAAATAATTTGGGTTTCTGGCTTCCATTTTGGTAAATTTAAAACCATGACATTGGTATATTTTTAGTTACCCAAGCTTACTGATTTCATCTTATCTATTGTTTGCTGATATCCTGTGAAAAAATCTCCATTTTATATTGAGCTTAAAGGACTTTAAAACACACCAGAATTTATACTACCAGAGTATCAGGAAATGCAATGACATGGATATGGCAGATTATTCGTAACAGAGACATTTATGTGTAGAAATTCTCTCTCTTGTGAAATTAGTTGGGTTTTTGTTTACGGTAAACTTTAGTTATAATCTGAGAAGGAAGTGAAATATAACCCACAAACATTTTAGCTTTGTTTATTGTTCCCAAGAAATGCTGCCTCTCTCCAAAAGATATTAGATGGCAGCAGTTGCTTGAGGAGGCCTGCTTCAAGTCTATACGAATCTAGCAACACCCCTGTTTCACTCATTCATACATTTTAACACTACCAAACTGCTAATTTATATTAACTATACAAAGTGATATTAGGTTTTAGCTGAGAAATAAATATATCATTGGAACCCAAATGAAAGAAAAGTCTGCAATCTTATACCCACTCACTGGGAATAGGTTCTTCTGAGAAGACATGTACAGGATTACACACAAAGGACAAATGCTGGCTAAACAATTTTTAAAAAATTATTACAGACAAACTCATCTCACTGCTTGGTAAGATGCCATTTTAAATCCAAATATCACACTTTTTGTTGCTGTTAGGCAGCAAAGCTGAATACGAAGTTTTGTTCAAAATTCTTTGTAAGCCGCACCGAGTCCTTTGGGAGATGTTGGCGGGGTACAAATAAAGATAATAATAATAATAATAATAATAATAATAATAATAATAATTCTGCATATGAAGTTTTGTATACAAAATTTTGTTCAAAATTCTGAGCACAAAAATTCTGTATATTCTGAAGTATCAATGGACATTCTGAATATTAGCCAAGTACAGGTTGAGCATCCCTTATCAGGAACACTTGAATCAGACATACACCAAGATCCGAAACTGTCTATATGGGTGAGTGGGATTGTGACAGTTCAACATAAACAAGCTTTGTTTCATGCACAGAATTATTACAATATTATATGAAATTGCCTTCAAGCTATGTGTATATGAAACGTGAATGGATTTCATGTTTAGACTTGGATCTCATTCTCAAGACATCTCATTACATACATATATGCAAATACAGATATTCCAAAATCCTGGAAAAAAAATCTAAACACTTCTGATCCCAAGCATTTTGAATAAGAGATACTCAACCTGCACTATGTTTTTGTTATGGGGGTGGTGGCAGTGTATAAACATGCACTGAAGCATGAAAAAGCTGGGAAAGCCCCCTTCCCTTTTTTTTATTGCTGAGAGCTCTGCCGTGATCTCTCCCAGTCTCTTCTTTTTATAACTCCATGTCAATGTAACATATAATGCAACAGCAGGAAGACAGGCATGATTTATTCCCACTAGGAAGCATTCAAAATAGTTACAGTTCCCTTGCAACAATTGTCGGGTTCTAGTGGGAGGAAAGGGAGGGCCCAGCAAAGTCAAGCTGACAGACACACCAAAGGCAAATGTGCATTCCAGTTGCAAAGATCACACACTCAATGACACAGTCTGTGGAATGAGCTGGACTAACAAGATATTCTGGAGACACGACAGATCATGGCCAAGAGATGCGGAGCAGATTTCACACATACGGCTAAAGGGAGAGAAAACCAACCCTGTAGCTTCTGGCAGGCAGAGCATCGCTATACAACAAGGAGGGCTGGAAAAGACAAGGAGCACAGTCTGTTTTTAATACGTTTAGAAAGCAAAGGGACAAGAAAACACGAAGACCTTCTTCACAGTGCACTTCCTGGTCCAGGTGGCAGATTATTGCGGTGTAACAAAGTGCGGCAAATTATTTAAGAAGCTGGACACTGCCATTTGAAAAGTACAAATACAAGTAGAGCAACAAGCAGCAAGGACAGTACACTTAGGCATATTTCCTACAGGAAAGGAGGACATCCTTGCAAAAGCAAAACAAAACAAGCGAGCAAGCTGTAGCTATTCATCCCAGGGCATGATTTCAAAACATCTAGGTACAGGAGACAAAAACAGGGCTGGGTTTGCTCCTGCTTCAGTCACAACCACCATTCTCATTGAAAAAGAGGAGCATAGGCAATATCCATGACAAGACACCATGACAACCTATTAGGAGGCAACTTCATGAATAATGGAACAGTGGTAAATAATGAACACCGGTGTGATTGCTGAACTATTGTCAGGGCTCAGACTACTCAGAATGCAGACTTAGCAAATCTAGCTATAAGACCAGAAAACATCCAACTGGGTTAGAAAATTAGAAATGTTGATAGAAGAAAAAAAATACAAGCATTCAAACAGAACATAAGTGGTTACAGGAGGGAGGGGGGAAGATGATGACTCTCGCATATTATATCTAGAAGGCAGTTTAGAGGGGACCACACAGGCAAAATTCTCATCAAGCTAGAAACAGTAATTTCTACATGCAGGTAAGGGCAAATTCAACCCCAGGGAATGTTGTAAAGCTTTTAAATCAGGGTTTCTCCTTGACCACAACAAAATGATTTCATATCCACAGTGTGGGATCCAAATGCAGTTTTTTTTGTTTGCCAATGAAATACTGCTCAGCAAAGTGGATTCAGAATTATGAATATGTTAATTACAAGAAATATTCCTGCTTCATTAGATAACTTCAGAATGATTAAGGTGAAAAATATGAATAACTAACGAAGATTAAGAAAAGATGCACTCCAGAGTTTTTCATATCTGAAAACCATAATAATATTTCAAACACACAGGAAAATAATGAATATAAAAAACAAAATAAACTAATGGACAGGAGGTTTCTGGAAGCCAATACAAATTAAGCAAGTCAGTCTTCCATTACAGCCTCTTAACATTCACAACTGGGGTTGCATTGCCCAGACAGAAGTAGAACATTCAACAAAAAACTGGAGGAGGAAAATTGACAGACCCGATTTCCATTTTGGGAAGAAGGTTGGGATTTGGAAGGAAAACCAGTGCTATGAAGACTAAGGTCAGAGTAGCAGGAAGCCTGCATAAATATAAAGAAAGGTTTAAAAACAAAGGGGAAAATGACATTTACTCCCAGAGTTCTCAAACAGCAAATGTATGGAATTAGAAAGTACAGTATATTCTGGCGTATAAGACTACTTTTTAACCCAAGAAAATCTTCTCAAAAGTCAGGGGTCGTCTTATATGCGGGTGTAGTCTTATGCATGGGAGTCATCTTAACTCTATATTTTAACTGGAAAAGTTGGGGGTCGTCTTATACGCCCAGTCGTCTTATATGCCGGAATATACGGTACCTCAGATATTATCTTCTTTAAGTACCAGTAATGAGTGATGTTCATAAATTCTAATATGATTCCTTAAGAAAAGTGAATTCCAGGTGGAAAGGGATTTCAGAGAGAACAAAAGCAAGACAATGTTCTAATTCTACAATCATCCTATGCATTTATGATTTATGAATATCTCTGAGTAGTATCTGTCCTATAAAGAACATCTTTATTGTGAAAACCTCTTTACATTAAGGAATCTTCATTAGTCTTGACATATGCTACAGTTTTTAGCCAAGGAAACACCTCTACTTTATTTGGTTCTCCATGCCTTTTGAACATCTACTTCATTACAGTTTATCTATCTATTGTTCATTATAGATTTAATTCTACATAGGCCAATCTATTCTGACAGTAGACAGTAGTTGAGGCATCCCCAGTACTACTTACCAACTCTTCTCTTTAAGTCTTTTCTTTTCCAGGCATTGGTTCATCCCTACGCTTCTAGCTGTGAGGCAGAACTAGACTGGTAAGGAAAGAGCCTTGCCTCTCCTATCTGAACACTCCTTTTGGTGGGAAGGCCAAACCAGAATACTGGGATGAGCCTGACACACCCATAACACACAGTTTAAAAGAGGGAAAAACAGAAACTGTAATTTAAAAATTGCTCCAAGGGTAGGCATACACCCTTCTCTAGTGTGCTTGTAAGAACATTTATATTGAAGGCAGAGTGGGTCTTGCATCTTACACCTGTTTTGGCCTAAAAAATAGGGAAAGCAGAATAGCTTTACAATACCTTTTGAGCAATAGCACCTGAAGCTCTGGAACACTTTACGTCTCACAATAAGCACAAGGTGCCAACATAAGACTTGCCAAGAAATTGTTTCTACTTGCTATGGTGGGTGGTAAATAGGAATTTTTAGAAAGACACTCCTTTCTACAGTAATGATTTTGTAAAGGGGGGGGGGGGGAAACCTGTTCAGATTACACAGACGACCTGGTGTTTATAACATCCTGCCCCCCGTTCTACAATTTTTTCTCCTCTGCTAAAATAATTTTTTGCAATGTTGCAACACAGATATTGAGTAATTCAATGTTGACAATGCTTGTTCTACTTCCACAAAACCAGTCCTGCTATTTTGCATATTCCAGCTGGGACAGATTCACATTCGCTCCTAGTGTTGCCAGATCTCAGGATCTGGTCCTGAGTCCGCAAATATTATGGGTCAACTCCAGGCCAGAGATGAGGATGCAAATTCTCCAATCTGAGGACTGGGGGGAGCTCAGCTTCACACAAAATGAAAGAGCTGTGAGTACCGTAACTCTCTGACACAGCTAGAGGAGGACTAGCTTGCCATAATCTTCAAAGTTTTAATTATCTGTCACTTCAACTTGCTGATTCCCCAGTTGATCTATGGATTTATTTTGCACAAGGCTTGAAATATATGTTGAAAGCTCCCTAGCCACAGACGGCTCATCATTGCATGGAATTGTTCTAAATGTACTTCAAACCAGTTGTCAACTCACTTTCATGAGACAGAGAAAAACTGGGTTTGTTTGGGGGTTTTTGCAGTTGAAATGCTTTGGATTGGTGTTCAAAATGTCTTCATATGATGTGATAATTCAAATTTGATTCTGCAGTGAATTTGTGAACAATGATGATTGATTGTACCGGGATTGTGGCGCAGTGTTGCCAGATCTCAAGATCTGGTCCTGAGTCCGCAGCTGCATTAAGATCACTCTGTGATCATTAAAAGTGTCAGCTGCATTAAGATCACTCTGACCAAAAGGTCATGAGTTCGAAGCCAGCCCGGGTTGGAGTGGGTTTCCAACCAATTGTGTAGCCTGTTGTCGACCTTTGCAACCCGAAAGACAGTTGCAGCTGTCAAGTAGGAAAATAAGGTACCACCTTAAAAAGTGTGGGGAGGCTAAATTAATTAATTTATGAGGTCATAAAAAAAGACTCCAACAAGCACTCCAGCAAAAAAAGCATGCGGGGAATGCGGAAGTACTTCATCAGTGTCGCAGATGGACGATGAAAGCAACAGCTCCCCTGGCGGCCAGAAAAAGTTAAATAGCCTCTGTGTATGTCTGTATATGTTGTATGTCAAAATTGGCATTGAATGTTTGCCATATATGTGTACACTGTAATCCACCCTGAGTCCCCTGCAGGGTGAGAAGGGCGGAATATAAATGCTGTAAATAAATAAATTGTGGGCAAATTGAGGGCATCACTTTGATTGATTCACTTCCCCATCCCCAAACTGCTTGCCACCCTACTTTCATTGAGCAGTCTCTGGCTGCAAAGCCATAACTTTAATCCCTTGCCCGTTCACTTCCTTTGCAGGTAATCAGAAGCAATGATAGGGATTTTCCTTCTTAATTAAGCATTCTCTTTTGCTAATCAAAGTATACCTACCCTTTGAAAAAATACACAAAATAGAATAAACCCTGTAATCTCAAAATGCATCTTTGAAAAATAGTTTTAATATCCCTAGGGATGGTGTTTGTGAACTGTGGAAATACAGAACTATTAACTATGGAACTACAAGTTTCACTCACAAAACCAAAGCTCAATTTTTAATGTTCTGAACTCTTGCACTTACACAATTCTTCCAGAAAAAATGGGGAGGGGGGGGGACAAACAGGGTTGGAAAGGTTGGAAAGAGTTGCATCCCAGCAGTTACGCTAAGTTAATAACACTTTCAGCTTCGTAAAAGCACTTGTTAAATGCCTTTGTGCTATCTAGGTGTTCTCCAGCCTCAAACAAGACATATCTACGACTCCAGAACTTGTTTTTAAGTCTTGTGCAATAATGTCCTCAATTATATTCCTCCTTCCCTCTAAGTTGTTGTAGTGCCAGAGCTCATCCTCTATTCTGCATTCACTTTCTGCCTAAAAGCACATTGTTTAAATATTTCTTATCCCATCTCCCTAAACAAGTGAGAAGCAAAAATCTCTTAATTCCACCTTGTGCTGGAAAAAGCCCCTTTAGCTAAATTGTCTGCCTTGAGCTGGCAATCCTACTCATTACAGTTCCAAGAATTATCCAAAGTTTCCTTCCTTACTGTTGGCAATGTTTGTGCAAAACAGCAAATACATAATTCTCAGTATTAGTTATTGCATCTCTGTGTTGTACATAGTTCTCCAATATGATCACAGCTACTTCTTGTGCTACTTGACATTGCTCTTCCTCATCCCACTCTTCTTTTTGTACTTTGCATGTGAGTATGTGCATAAATATTCCACTAGTTGATCACATAATTAATCTAACAAGAGGACTTTCACCCATGAAATCTTGTACCACAATGTTTTCGTTCCACCTTAAACTCTAACAAGAATTTGATGAATAGTCCTGATACTGTTTATTAATAAAGTGTACGTCTTTGTAAGTAGCTGAGAAATATGCATAAGATGTACTTCTCTCATGAACAAAATTTCATTAGAATTAAATTTCTAATAACTCTACTAGATTTTCTATTTTTAAATGAATTGCACATGTCTTTGTACGAGGGGTATTTTTTAAGTAAGTCCCGTTTTGTTGTAGACACTAGTAGTTTGCGCGCATACCACAACGAGCGCGTGCGTCGTGTACCGGCATGCCTCGGGAACAACTGTGCTCAGTTTCCGCTCTGTAGCTAACCTGTACGGTTCTGTTCTGTGCTTTAAAAATGTTTAAGACTATCAACTCACCCTCCGCATGTGAGGTTCGCTCAGTGATACGGTTTTTGTCAGCAAGGAACCTGCCTGCTGCAGAAATTCATCGACAGATTTGTGAAGTGTACGGTGATACTGTTATGAGTGAAAGCAAAGTGCGTAAGTGGGTATGACAATTCAAAGATGGCCGTGACAACGTCCATGATGAGGACCGCTCTGGTCGCCCTTCTTTGATTACAGTGAACTCTTGGTTATCGGAGCAGGCGGCAAGTTTTTATGAAGAGGGTATTTTAAAATTGGTTCAGAGGTATGATAAGTGTTTGAACAAACTTGGCAACTATGTCGAAAAATAGAGTGAACTATGTACTTTCTGAAAATAAATTTACTTCTTTGAAATAAACTTTAGTTGTGTACTTATGTTCAAATGGACCTTACTTAAAAAATACCCCACGTATATAACCACTGGTTTGTTACAAGAGAGATGCAGTGTATTAAGAGACAGAAAATGTAGGAATAGGAAAACAAGTAAAGCAGCCATCAAAATGTTACATGGAAGCTATTTCTTAAGGAGAATGGTAGAATTTATTTGTCCATAGGTACACTATATGAAACCTGTGAAAAGAGCTACATACAGCTGAGATTATGAAAAATTCAGTCAATTCTACAGTATATTTGTGAAATTCATATCATAAAGTTGTTAAGAGTGCATCTGTTTTTCATATATAGGCAACGCAATAATAATGGCTAAAGAAAAGTATTCATTTCCTGTTGTCTCATAGGAGAATAGGTTGTCAAAAGCACCAAGTTGTTAAACTTTGTCTGCTCCAGTCTTTCCTAATATGTCCTCCAAATATTCTAAGCACCGACTCCCATCAGTTTCAGCCAGCATAATCAATGGGAGGGGATAATAGGAACTGTGATTTCAAACACTTGGAAGGTACCATCCTGACAAAGACTCTCTTTCTTATATATGGACACAGCTCTCACAATAGTCCTTCCAATACAACATAAAGAAAACCGTTAGCCTAAACCCAGGCTAGCAGAACTCCATGGAAATATTAGTGAGTCAGAAGAAGGCCACTTATTTTTGAGCAATAAA